AAATCCTCTGTTTTCTCTGTGGAGTTCTGTCCTGAAAACTGTGATGGTTGCAGCTCTGCGTCTTCTGAGCTGCTGTTCAGTGTGCACGGTATTTGTAGCCATGAATCTAGGGTGGGTTTATATTATGGGACTGGCATCAGGCGCTGTTTAGGCTAAGTGAGTGTGTGTGTGACTGTTTGACTACAGACAAGCCAATTACATCTGCCGCCTTGTCGCATTGTCATCATTAGTGTTAAAGCTCTGAAGCTACTTGTAAGAGATGTTGAGTGCTGACAACATGCCTTGGCACACGCATACATACACATGCATGCACTGTCCCACGCCCTCGCCCATTTTCTCAGCAGTCTTTATGAGGGGAGATGGGAGTGAGATAAGCTCATTGTTTAGGATGTTGTAGCTGGATGTGTACAGGCTTGTCTTGGAAATATACATTACCCTAAGGCTGGTTTCAGATGTTTGCTGCATTCAAAGTTGAGTTTTTTACCACATGAACTTGTCTTTGAGTGAAAGAATCAGGAAAATAAACAAAAATGACATATTTGGCAGATAGAAAAATATTAAGTTGATCTTTTTTACTAAACTATTACTCAAATAGTAACAACATTTCCTTAAAGAAATGTTTTATTAGTCTATAAAAACATGCAAAATAATGAAAATGGTGCTATAAGTATGGAATTTAAACTACTTAAATAAACTATAAAACCCATTAAACCGAGGAAATTAAGCAACTATTTATATTTCTACATAATAAATAGCATATATGATAAAACAAAAAGTTAAGTTGCAGTCTAAATTGAAATAATAATACTGAATATCAGTTTATCCAATACTCCTATCTGTATTAAATCAATGTGTTTGGGTTTAAAGAGAGGCACAGAGACAGAGAGATCAGAGATAGGGATCAGTGTGTGTGGTGATCCTGAAAACTTGATCACTTAGTATCGCCTGACTTAACCGGTGGATCGCCACCCAAAGCAGACCACACACACACACACACACACACACACACACACACACACACACACACACACACACACACACACACACACACACTCCGCCCGCCTGCTGCTGCCTCTGTCTCAGAAAAACAACACAGAGGGGAGACAGTGTACAGGGATGGGTGGAGAGATTGGCAGAGGATGGGGCGGGGGTCTGTTATGAGAATATGCACATTCAGACACGTTTTCACTTTTCCTCTTTTCCCGCCCTGTCCTAATTATTTCTATTCTGGGACACTGAGGCCCACCAAACATAGAGGTAGTGCTGATAGACCAGGCGTGTATAAATAAGCCAACGCAAGGCTGGCAGCATGGCAGCAGGGGCAGAGGCCAGATAGGCTGCACTGATTACCTCCATTATCAGAGACAGGCCTCATTAGGAGACTCTGTGTGTGTGTGTGTGTGTGTGTGTGTGTGTGTGTGTGTGTGTGTGTGTGTGTGTGTGTGTGTGTGTGTATGTGTGTGTGGGGGGGGGGGTATATTATTGCCTACATGACAGAGGGGGACATATTGTTGTCCTAACTTCCGAAAGGGGTTAGTTAAGGGTACAATAAGTGTCTGGTTGATAACATTTAATTGGTAAAAGATAACTCGCTTCTAGCCAGCTTCAAATGTTGTATACACACAGGAGTACTATTAACTATTTACTTGAATATATAAATTCAAGGATAAACATAACCATTAGTACAAATAAAAGAGTATCTAAATACAAGTTTTATTTACAATTCAAATCAATATTTATCTTTGAGAGTTAGGTAATATAAATGTGTTCTTCATTCACCTATTTTTGTCTTTTAGCATAGACATGATTTAGTGATTTATGTTTCTTTTGTGTGTGTGTGTGTGTGTGTGTGTGTGTGTGTGTGTGTGTGTGTGTGTGTGTGTGTGTGTGTGTGTGTGTGTGTGTGTGTGTGTGTGTGTGTGCGTGTGTGTGTGTGCGTGTGTGTGTGTGTGTGTGTTAAATCTCATACCCCACCCCGGTTCAGTGCCCTATAAGTACCAGGCATTGCAGTGGGTGCCAAATATAGACTTGACAAATGCAGGCAACCTAGAAAGTATAAAAGATGAACTGGTGAAAACTTCATAAAGTTTCGAAACATTTGTCAGATTAAATATGGTCAGAAGGGCCAAATCAATAGTGATGGCGGGATGAAGCCTTATGAAGCTTTGAAGCTTTCCAGCCAATTGGTTCGCAAAAGGGTTCATCTCATGAGGCTTCATCACGGGCTTCATTTGAACACAAATCCCCCTGTTGGTCAAAGTGTGTAAAACAGGCAGATTGGACATCTCAACAGTGTGCTCTATCTATCTCATACCGAGTTCCCAATGAGTAAAGCCTTAGAATAACTCTAAACAACGAACATAAATCATATTTTCATGCTAACAATATTGTATGTATTCCAGTTTAATGATTGTGACATTGCAAAGAGGGATTTGTATTCCTTAATAATATTCGTAAACTTAACCATGTTGTAGCCTGAGAAAGGCTAAACCATATCAAATAATACATTTATTAACTACATTATCTCATTTAGCTGTAGCTTTTATAAACAAAAAAAAAGACTTAAGTCGTTGAACCAGGGACCTTGCGGTTGTGAGTCAACTGCTTTCCAGCTGACCCACAGCCCACACGCTGAATCTACCTGAAAACACATTCCTGTATTTATTCATTTATTTATGTTTTTATTCCTACTTTTATTTACGCTTTTATTTAATTACACTTATGATATGTTCCGACCTCTATATAAGTGAGGGTCTGAGCTCTCTTAATTTCATCGTGTCGCCGGGCCCGGGTACAGGAGGGGTAATATCATATACATCCATGGGTAATTAGCGTTGTGGTTCAACCATAGACTGTATATAAAGGGGTTCAACCGATCTAAAGCACTTTCTGAAGCAGTCACGTGGTATCGACAGGCAGCGAGGCTTCGTTTGTCATCGATGACGTCACTGGCCCAAAACGATATAAGCCTCGATACAAGCTTCACAAAAAGCTTCGGCGATTACTCGACACTCCCCGAAGCCTCGGCGCAATCACTACAAATCAGTTATGATTGTGTTGTTTACAGACTTACAGACACTTGAACTGAACAGAAGGGATCACATAAGGTAATTAACTTGCCACAGGTGTGTAATCAATCGCATTAACGATGTGAAACACCAACTGAAATTAAATGCAGCATCATTAATGTTATTTGTTACAACATGTTCTATGCTGTAAAATAAATTACCTACTTATTTACTCAAGTTATAAGTATTAAAGTGTACTGCAAAACACAAAATACTTGAAAAAATGAAGTTCAATATTCAGTGTCATTCTGGCTTAGCCTACTTGTTTGTTCCCTATTGTTCTTATTTTCTTTTAGCCAGGTATTTTGGGTAGTTAAGTGCTACTGCTAGCCAACATTTTTAGTAATTTAATTAAGTTAGTAGGGCAGGTTGTAAGTTATACATTGCGTCTATTTTGCTGTTGTTTTGGAGTCAGTAGTGAAAAAGTATTTAATTGTATTATTCAAGTAGGTCGAATTATTTAGCACACTGCTTCAGAGACACTTCAGGCCTGTTTTGTAACTGGGTGATTCTCTGAATCGGGTGCCCTTTGTGTCCCCCAAACTTACTTCAAAGATTTTAAATGAAAGGAAACTACAAAATGTATTTTTAAAGCACTGAATTAAAGAAACAGGGTGTTTTGCATTACAATGTAAAACTAAATATATATATTTTGTTTTTGTTTTATAATAATTAGTTGTCTTTGTAGTAGTAGTAGACAACACACATTTTTGCATTTCCTCACTGAGCATCATCACATATTCATTGAATATTAAACAAATAATAATTGCCAATTATACCAACATTTTGATGCTTATAATCACAATGCGTATGTACTTTTAACTGAGAAAAAAGAAATCTGAAAAAATACATGAATTATCTATGAAATTGCACTCTCCCTCAGTTTGTTTCAACCCCGTCACGCTATACATTTTACCCTATGATTTTACCCCCCTATTAAAATAATGGATCAGTCCATGTGACATCTGCATTGAGGGAGTGACATCACAGAAGTCGAGGAAAAGGCGGCAAAGAAAGGCAAGTGTCTTTTCTTACCTATATTTCATTTTTTTATTGTCAGATTGAGATTGTCAAACTCAACATTTCAACTCTGTTGTATGAATTACTTGTAGTAAACAATTATTTAGGAAAAATTAAACAATAGTTTTGCAAATTCCATGTGGTGCTAGCTAAACAAGGCCTCATGGCTACTTTTTGCCAAAAACTTCAACCCCGTCACATTCAACCCCGTCACATTTGTTCAAGGAAATTCCTAGTAATTATATATATATTTTGTGCCTGAGGTGCGAACATTTGTTTTCTCAAAGTTTTAAGTAGTCCACGACCAGATGTTATGATCAAAAATGCAAAAAATGTAGTTTCATTTTTCAAAAATGTAAAGACCCAAAAGGAACCCGATTCAGAGAATCACCCAACTATGCTAAGTTACTAAGTATGCTAACGTGAAGGTACTTCACTACAGAGGGGGGAAAAGTAAAGTATAAACTATTGTTTGACACGTTTTTATTTTAGTTTTTAGCTAACATTTACCGACAGCTGAAACGTTAATGTATTCATAGGTTAAGATTTAAGGTACAGAACACAAGGCCTGCAGCTTTCAAGACCCCAAACTATTTCATGATAAGAGTCCAACAAGGCTTCATCTATTTTTCGGCAGAATAAGTAGGATTACCTAACTTTGTATTTCTATACAATGTTTGGTTACTACTTGGAGTTGTTTCTGTATTTAATATCGTTTTTTATTTGAGTATACTTAAATGTGCCTGTCATTACTGGGGTATTGACGCCCTCTCGTGGTTGGTGCTAACATTGACAGACCCGCCCACTTCTGCAGATAATAACATGCTTCCATTCCATGATGCAAGTCCCCGTATGCGACAGCCAATGCGATACTAGAACATGGAGACACGGCGAAAACACAATACTTAGGTTCAAGTTCCCGCCAGCTAATTGATAACTCTAATATTTATAAAAGGAAGAAGTAGACCGAAAACGAAATAAAGGTCGTATGCAAGGACGCATGAGCCTAAAAGTGGGAGGGGAACATCAAAAATATTGATAGGAGGGAGGAGTGACGGCAGCAGAGCGGCGACGAGGAACAGGTTAGGGAGAAGCCGAGAGAAAAAAGCCTCTGGCACCTTTTATTGGACAATTTCCCCCCACCTTGGATTTATTGGTTTTCACTGTTATTTGTCTAATTGGGACTGATAAGTAACCCGCTCCAAGAGAGGTGAGATGTCTGCGTTATTTACATGTTTTGTTCTTGTCAATACGTCAAGGATCAGAGGGGTTTATCTGGGTTTAACACGTGTTTTGCGGAAATAGATTTAAATAGAGGGGAGGACCATGAATGTGGGCTATGCTTTAAAAAGTGATCTATTCAAAGAGACTTGTTTTTAAACCTTGTCTTAACCGGAAGTTCAGGTTAATTAAGCAAATACGAATAGTAATGATGGCTAAATAAAAGCATCAATAGGTGGAACTAATAGAAACAGTAATGACCGGACCCCTGCTTCAGCTAAAACATGTCACACCCATTATTTTATAAATAAAAACCTGTTGCTTCAAGAACAAAAGAGTTGCCCTTTAGTTTCCATCACATCACATGATGTTTCTGGCTGAAGTACAGACTGGTCTTATGAACTATGTTGTAAGCTGGTTGTAAACATGCAACCATTATGATGTGGGAAAAAACATGCTTAAAGAATAATAGAAGTCTCTTCACATGATTGTGGTTAAATGTTGCTGGACTGTTTTTCATGGTCACTTTCTGTTTATGTGAAACCCCCAACCTTTCCATCCCTCCCACCCCTACCCTTTCATTCCTCCAGTTTCCCATAGAGACTGCGGGACAGGACAGGGAAGTACAACCTCCTTTACTCCGAGCCCAGGGAAGATTCATCCAACTCTTCGCCATGTCTGCTCCTGGTAAGAAGCTTGAAGTGTGGAGCAACTAAGAAGTGCTTTCAGATCTGTAGTTTGAATTTTAAGTCAGAAAATGTGAAGATCATTAGCTTCTACTTCACTTTTATAAAAGTTTTACATGTTTGCTTAAGTACTTCCTCTTTTTTCATTTCCAGAGCTGCCGCTCTGGAAATGATTAGGTGATGAAGTAGAAGTTTCCATTAGGCCTTCACTGAGCATCATTTTTGACATGAATAGGCAACCTGTTCAACCCCCAGATTCCATAATGGGGGTTTTAGGAATGTTATCCTTGCCAAATTGGTGAAATCTGAAATAAATTCCCAGAATGCTTGCACGCAACCTGAGATGAAAAACATGATTTTGGCCGTTGGTAAAGCATACTCCTCCCTCTGGATGGAAAAGAAAAGTTTAGGAGGTGAAAAGGTAACTATTGTGTGGGTGTGTCTGTTTGTGTAAATACACGAGGGCTGCCGTCCTGCTAAGGTTTAACATTTGGGTTTGTTTCCTGCTAGTAAGGAAAGGAATGTTGAAAGGGGTGGGGCAACAACAAGCCTCTAAGTTCACGAAGCAGATTACTCATATCCTCCTTTGCACTCTTTAGACATGGCTTTAATCCACATTTGTTTTGAGATTAAACATCACATAGGTTTGGTAATTAAACTGAATGCTAACCTATGACCATGATATTAATCCCACTATGAAAAGGACTTTTAAGACTGGTTTTTGATGGACTGTCCTGCTATGACAACAAAAACCAGTTTGGTCAGCTATGAAACTGACTCCAGTGCATGGCACAAAGATAATACTTAACATGTGTTGTCACTGACTAGTCACACAGAGGAGTGACTTAGATTAGGGCGATTTAAAGAGTCCCTATTATGCTCATTTTCAGGTTCATATTTGTAGTTTGTGCTTCTATTGTGACATGTTTACATGCTTTAACGTTCAAAAAGTGATCTATTCTTCTCATACTGCCTGTTGTGTGAAGATAAAGGAAGGTAAAAGACAATACAGGACAGATACAGATAAGATAAAGGCCAATAATAATCCTTATATTTATTATAGCGCTTTATCAATGACTCTCAAAGCACTTTACAAATACACATACAGATCATACATGTAATGGTCTACTGTGGACAATACCCACAGGAGCAAGTTCAGGTGAAGTGTCTTGCCCAAGGACAAACATTAGATGAGTAGACTACATATCCATGGTAAACAAAATAAGCAGAAAAGTAAGTGCACATGACATAGTTAACTGCCCCGAAACCCTTACTGATTGTACTGTACCGCCCGCTCAATAGGGTTTTACTGTTGAAACTGCCTGTTGATGTGCTCCCCTGTAACTGCTTCCTCTCTCCTCTGTGGCTTGGGTAATAAGTAGCTTATTGGCTCTGCGGTAACAGCAGAGAGAAGGGGGGATGATCCGCAGTAAACACACACTCTCTCACACTTACGAGCACAACGCGCTGCGATCAAGACACACAGATCAGGATTTCCTCTGTGTATACCACCGTTTTGTATTAATGAGCTGCGTTTTTGTCGACAGCTTTTCATTTTATTAGGTAAGAACTTGCACTTGTCTGTGACGTCTGATAACAGTTTTTAGATACTTGTGTTTTTCTGTGTAATTCTATCCTTAATGTTTATAATGTTGATTTTTATTTCTTTGTTTTGTTCTTAGTTTGAGTTATTTTAATCCATTTTATTATGTTATGTTATTCCGTACTTCATAACTTAGATGACCAAATATGTATATATGCTGACAGTTATTTTACTCTTATTTTTACTCATCTCCTATTTCATAGTCTTTTATTATTATCATTATTATTTTAATTTGTTTCTTGATTTTGATTTTATTAATCTGTGTGAATCTTTGCTGTCCTGTTTTTTTCACGCTTACCCTGTTGCTGCTTTGTACAACTGAATTTCCACACGGGGATTAATAAATGTCCATCTTATCTTATCTTATCTTATCTTTTGTTAATGTTTCAAGGTTAAAATGTATCTATCAGTTTCAGTTTGAATGTGGTTTTCTACTGTTACAAAACCACGACTGTGTAGCTTCTTTAAAATATTCGTATTACTTCTGTCAAAAGACTGTACAGGAACCTGATATCAAAGTATATTTTTCCCAGGTTACCCAGGCCCTTACAACAACTCACCCTACCCCATGGCTCAGTACGGCGACAAATCGGGAGCCCCTTATCCCGCTCCTCATGGGGGGTACGTAGACCCCCATCAAGCCCCTCCACCAGGCTTCAACCCGGGCTACAACCAAGGCCCGCCTCCTGTCATGTATCAGCCTGGCCCTGTCCCGGAGTACGGTGCCCCCCCCGGAGCCATCGCCCCCGCCATGGCAGCTGCGGCCCCGGTCGGCGTCCCCCCGGGGCTCGAATACCTCACACAGGTAGGAGGGGGAAATCACGTGGGACAACTTGAATAGCTACTGCATTTAACTTTTGCTTAGACTCGTGTGTTTGTCTGATTTATGCACCACACCTTAACATCTGGAATTTGTACTCTGGAAGTCTCATAGTTATTCTTGATAAGACACCTGTTATGGCCTGAGGGCTCCCTATTGTTAGCAGTTGTGAACAGACGTTGACGTTGAAAAAGCTGCTGTTATTGGTTTACCGTTTATCTTCTTGTACTGCTTAGTTTATTGCACGTCTCGAGATCTGAATTCAAATCAACAGTAAAGTTACAGTGGATGGTCATTTAGTAAATGACAGTAAAACAGGTTATTTGGCTTTAGTTTGGGCACTTATCAATTATTATTCCCAATTAAATAAAGTATAGTATGAACTCAGTCATCACAACCTTTCAAATGTTTAAGATTATTGCTCGCGTAACTGTAAGTTTCCTTATTTGTACATACTAACCTACATGTACTCTTCATCAAACAAAGACACAGCAAATGACTATGTGGTCTCAGACAAATACTGAGTTTGCATGGGAAAGTACTCAACCCCTCCTACTGAACATGACTAAACAGAAACTAGCATTGAGTCTGTGGCTGATGCTAATTCATGAAAGAAGCTGCTTTGCATTCCAAATAAGTTATATAATCGCAATTTCCTCTTTGTTTTAAGAAAAACAAGACTTTTAGATGAACATATTTTGTATTTTGTTACCTGTCTGACGTTGTTTCTCTTGTGGTTTTAGATTGACCAGATCCTGATCCATCAAAAAGTGGAACTCCTAGAAGGTAAGATTTGTTTTGTTTATCCATTCATGCAAGCAGCACATAACCCTCAGCAGTTGTTCAGCTTTGGCAAACTTTAAACCTCTCACTATAAATCAAATGATAATGTGACACTTGTCCCTGGAATTCATTACTTATCTGCCCTTTGTTATTCACTGTTTCCACCCGTTTTCCTTTCTCCCGCCCAGCATTCATCGGGTTTGAGACCAACAACCAGTACGAGATAAAGAACAGTTTGGGCCAGAAGATCTACAACGCCAAAGAGAAGAACGACTGCTGCACCAGGAACTGCTGCGGCTCGCTGCGCAGCTTCGACATGAAGATAAAGGACACCATGGACCGGGAGGTGATCCGCCTCATACGGCCTTTCCGCTGCGTCTCCTGCTGGTTTCCCTGCTGCCTGCAAGAGGTCAAAATCACTTTTAATAGCCTAACATTATATTGATGTACCACACCAAGACCAATATTGAATCAATAGTTCATTAGGATTACTCACTGATATCTTTGTTATCATATTTGCTCATAGTGTGCCAAGATAACTTGTTCCATTAATGATGTTGTTAATACCTAACCTTATTGAAGTTCTAAAGAGTTTCCAATGGAAAATAACTTGATAAAGAAGTTGATTCATAATCAAGCTTTACTGGTTAGGACATAAAAACAACAATGATTGAAAAACGTAGAGGGTCATTTTCAGGAATAAAGTGCTTCCCAGATTAAAAAACACCCAGGAAATCAAAACAAACCACAAATTGCTATATTAGATTATTTTTTGTTGCCAACAGCCTTTTCCTTTAGAGACAGATCTTGGTATTATTATTCCAGATTTTGAGACATCTCTCGCTGATATTTCTTCTGCTACATCCTTACAATGTCAATGTCTTGTGCCCAGAGCATTCAAAATTCATCAGCAATTAGGCTTTCTGGAAACAATGTCCCCTGTTGCGCTATATTCCGTTTTAACGACCACTATTTGAACCAATAGTCCCATTAGGAAACTGTTGATGCGGTGTGTAACAGGGTCATCGGGTAATTTCTGTCAACTTTTTTACCCCAGCAAAGTTACCTCTAATAGCATTGATTAAACATACAAATCTGCTCCCTCATAGCTCTCAGTGGCTCATATTCAGAGGCTTTTGTCTCTCCTCCCTTCGCCTTGTGTTACTGTTGAGTTTCTGAGTGGCGCTTGGATGTCTTTGTGCATCAGCGTGCTCAGGCAGGGTTTTGTTAAGACTATGAATGGCCCTTTGTCCGTCCAAACTATCTCCTAGACTCCCCCGATCCTCTGCAACGGCTCTGAGAAAGCTCTCTCTCAGTCTAATCTCATCTCTGTATGGTATGTTCCCATTGGATCGAACCCAAGCTGCACAAACTGCGGTTCTGTTCAGACAGGAGCCATGTGAGATGTGTTACCTTTGTAACGCCACAATGAAGCAGTGAGAATCAATCCTGCTGTCCCGTGGACATTTGTGGCACGCTAAACCCCGTGATGTTGTATTTATAGCTGTCAGGAAGAATTTTCAATCTCTCTGCGATAACGTTATAATTGTATGGCATGTTTGTGACCCACAGATGGAGGTCCAGGCACCGCCGGGCACCACCATAGGCTACGTCAAACAGGACTGGCACCCCTGCCTGCCCAAGTTTTCCATCCAGGGACCTAACAAGGAGACCCTGCTGAAGCTGGACGGGCCCTGCTTCGCCTGCAACTGCTGTGGGGACGTCAACTTTGAGGTGAGGCTATTTGACCGTTTTGTTAGAAAAAGGTCAAGAACACTCATATCTGTCCTTTAGATATGAAGCTACAGACAAACCTTTGTACACAGCAAGGCTAGCTGTTTCCTGTTATGATTTCAGTATGCTAATCTCCCAGTAGCTTCATATTTATCAGAAAAAGGGATCATTTATTCGTCCCACTGCGGGGGAATTTACATTGATACCGCTTTGGGAAAAAGATAAAAGGGTAACGAAAGATGTGTCTTCTAACAAATTGACTAAAGAGGCAAGTAAACATTACACACATCCATGGTTAAAAGCAAGAAGCAGCATTGTGAAAAGTGAACATATAAAAGTAGTTAAGTAGCAGACAGTTATAAGTATGGTTAAAAAAAAGTGTATATTGCACATAGAATTGTTATCTTACCAACATGGGTGGTTTCAATCTCTTCAAGAAAGTGAATAAGTCTAATTCTAAAACTATATATTTGAATTAACATATGGACACACTTAAGTTTTGCACTTTTAGTATATAACATTATAGGATCATAGTATAGTTCACTTGACATGCCGTCCTTAAGAAATGGTTCTTATTCCTCTGCAGCTGAAGGGTAAAGATAGTGGCCAGTCGGTTGGTCGCATCAGTAAGCAGTGGAGCGGCCTTCTGAAGGAAGTCTTCACAGACACGGACAACTTTGGCATCCAGTTCCCGCTGGACCTGGACGTGAAGGTGAAAGCTGTTCTCATGGGCGCCTGCTTCCTCATTGTAAGTAACTCGGTTATTTTGATTTGAATAGCAGCAATTGTTTTTTAAATATGTGTCTAAAGAGGTCATTTCCTTCTGTGTTGCCAGGATTTCATGTTCTTCGAGAAGGTCGGGGAGGCCAACCAGCGCAGCTCTGTGTTCTCATAACAGAGGAAAAAGGAAGGGGAAACAGCATGAGAGCAATTGCCAGTTATGCATTCACAGTTAATCTACTTGTATGTAGATGCATTTGTTTTTTAAATCATTCCGTCCATCAGATTCCAGCCAAAACGGTGCCAATCTGGCCATCATTTTACACACACACACACAGACCAAAACGAGCTAAAGAACTCTGACTCCAGATGCCTGCCAGGGATTTTTTTTTAAAAATATTTCCAAACTCAATGACCCAATGATACTGCGCCATGTTGCTCATGTTCTTTACACTCCATACAGTGTGTGGTTTGACCATTTTGAATGAATGAACGTACCTCCAGCTGAGATATTATCTCTTAGATGTGCTTTACGCTACACTGGCATTCACATTTCATATTTATGCTTATCATCCCACTTTACTATCTTTTATGAAAACTAACAATAGATTTATGTAAGTGCAATACCGTTGTGGGTGTATACGCTGTATTCATTGCCTTTTATATTTAGCTATGCTATCTGCTACTTTGTGTTTAATGCTAATTAGCAAATGATAGCATGCAAACAAGCTAACTAAAAAAGTGAACATGGTAAACATTATATTTGCTGTATCTGTTAGCATTGTGAGCATGTTAGCATGGTAGCTTTAGCTCAAAGCACTGATGTGGCTTAGTCATTGTATAAGTTAACAAAAGCTTTATTTAAAATGTAATCATTAGCAAGAATACCTGCTCATTATTTAGTGTGTATAGGGAAGTGGTGGTTATGTTAGCAGAAGGATGGGAACATGTTTTATTATTGACAGCATTTACCAAAGGGCTCTTTCTTTCTCTCCAAGTGAACATAATACAATTTGTAGCATAGCCTACAGTGTCAATGCTCCCTCTGTGGTTAGCTGGTTGCCTTGGAGATGGAAACCACAGCCAGACCTTGCCGTCCTATTCTCCAGATGTCACTGCCTTGAACATTCATGTGAACTGAAATGGGAGTGTAGGTTAAGCAGGGATATCTTGAAAAAAGAGTAAAAGAAAGTAAATGAAAAGCAGAAACTGAGGTTAGTGAATATTATTTTGACTACACAGTGGTTGGAAAACCCTGGTCATTGGCAGGTTTAAGGAAACACATCGGGTTTCCGTAGTTTTGCAGGTTAATGTTTGGAAATGGCTGTTGAATGTAAAGCTCTGTATTTAATCGTCATAATTGTTCTTGTGAGATAACATGGGTGTGCCTCCAGTGAGGCTTGTTGCCACTAGTGCTCTCATGTATGTACTGTGTTTTATATACGTGTGTGTGATACCCTCAGCCTTTGAGCTTGCTGACCTTTGATAAGGAAAGAAAAAGGAGCCAAAGGATGTACAGTACCTTTACTGCGATTACTTCTTCTTTGTGTGATGTTTAAATTGCTTCTTCTTTGGCATCAGTTTCCTGTTTCTATCATAATTCTATACAATTTATGTTGTCAATATAATTTTTCTACAGATCAAAAGTACCCTGTCCTTTAAAAATAAATCATAAGATATTGAATCCATTGTTATGGTGTTGTTTCCTATCGCTACACTTATTGTCAGGGAGAGTTTTGGGAATGCTCTAAAGACTAAATGTGGAACATCTGGTTTCACTTGGAAAAAATGATTCAAAGGGAAATCCCGTCTAATTCTCTGCAAAAACATCAAAAGTCCTGCTCTGCTTTAGGTACTGGGCAACATGCACATTATGGTGTCCATATCAGCGTCCTTTATCTAACCTATTTTAGATGCAACAAAGGGTGACAAACCTCTCCTCTGGTCACATATTGAATATCATACAGCTCCACCCTCTGGGAAAATATGGAAAATACAAGAAGAGTATTCCTCGTGTGGACATGTCCATCCAATGCTGCTGGGAAATAACTACAATTAAAATATAATTGAGGCTTACAAACCTTTGACCTTGCATTCAGGAATATGTAAGGCTTTATATTTAATAACACAATAAAGACACTTAATCTTTCTGAAGACCAGCTGAATAAACGGCTCATACATCACACTGCAGCTGAGTACAAAGACAACAATCATTTTATTTAATAAAACAATAATTTCTAATACAATATGTACACATTCATTAAGATACAAAAAACTATGTTCACAAAATGTGCTGCTGGAGAGTATCATTCAAATACAAAAACAGTGAGCCAATTTCTGCTTAATTTTTCCATTTTCCATTGAAAGACCATCACTTTTATATGACCTCCTATCTGTTCCCACATCGAGGTGGTCAATGAAAGGTTTTTTTGGCAGCTTCCAGTGCCAGCATTATTGCTGAAAAAGTAAACCATCTCAGGAAAATCAACGGTAAAATCAGCCAATAAAGAACACTTTAGACGCGCCTTTCTGCGCTTATTTGCGGTCGCTCCCTGTCCCCGGGGCCCGGTCTGTCGTCCCGGGACCAACGGATCAGGTATCTGCTGGCCAGCTGCAGGTTCCACTGGTATCTGGAGAGGACCCTCAGACAGTCCTCTCTGGAGCACAGGCTCAGCGAGTACAACTGCTCCAACTGAAAGACACACATCAAGGGAAAATGGATCAGGATCAAAATATACCTTTGTAGAGACATGAATTCATTGACTCTGCCTTCATTTATGGAGACAAAGCAAACAAAACCAGCTGGTTATCTTTCTGAGGGTTTCAGGCAGGTTTCACTTCTGCCTGGACCTCACGAACCAGCAATCAATTGCAAAAACTCAGCTCAGAAAATTGCACACAAATTCCCTATTGATGATATAATGAGCTTAACTGTGAGAAACATAAACACTTAAATATGCAAATGAATTAGTTAGAGAAAACATGTTTCCGATTTGATTTGATCCCTGCTTGGTATAGAACTTAAATGAAAGTCTTGCTAAATCCCTGGGGTGGCTTTACATTTTTTCACCGCCTGGATTAACCTGTAATGTGAACCCAACCCTGGCCACAACCCCCACCTACCCATATACAGTCCTATTCCAGATAACCCCAAGGTTTCCTGCAGGACTATTTAAATTGTTATTTAAATATTTAGACATATACAAAATTATTGAAATAATAAAAAGGCAACTGGTGCATGTCACATGTGAAATACTGTACTTTGGTGGGGAAAACTCCCTAATAAAATGCAATGACCAAATCCAGTTGATATGCAGTGAGTTATATTCTAGGTCCTCCACACCCAGTTGCTCATGCAGTCTTGTATTTCTATATGTGATATTGTACTTATTTCAAGTGAGTCATTTTGAATTGAAGCTTAAAAATGTTCAGTTTTCCACAGCAATATATCACTAAGTTTAGCCTATTTTGTGCTATATTTCAGTGTATTTTCTATATTTTATTGTATCTCTTTATTATTTTCTATGGGCTACTGATATTTCTTTTAATATTGTTTATATTTTTTATTTCTGACCTTGAGTTGTTGCTCAGCTCGCAGCGGGTTCCAGTCACTACGGTGAAGGGCAACATGAACCTCTTCAAGGGTCACTCCGTGAACTGCCTCCATAACCTGGGAAGAGCAGAGCGACCATTGCTTCATTTAGAAAACTGAACACGTTTAACACAGAAAAGCAAAACGATTATCCTGTCAATCAGTGGTTTACCTGTGCGGTGAGACTTTCTCTTGTATTCTGCACATGAGTGGACTTGTCTCTCTCTCTCCCTCTGTCAGGGTAATCATCTAGCTGGGGGGTGGAGCGTGCCAACTGGCTCATCTTGACCAGGTTGGTGCCTCCGATGCCCTGTGGGGGTGGGGGTTGAGCTGGAGGCTGGGATGGAGGGACCACGTTCACCTGGGGAGGCCATGTGGTGCCCGGTACTGGGTGGATTGGGGGTTTCCTCTGAGGTTTCATGTTGAAGCGGTTGGGGTTGGGGGGCGGGGGGCGTGGAGGCGGGTTGACGCTGGCCTCGCTGAAGCGCCGGGGGTCCTGCTGTATCAACACATTGTGAGCTGGGGGCATGAGTCTGCCGTGCTGATCCACTCTGAGCGCGCCCACAGTGTGAGATCGGGAGCGGGATCCACTCATAACGGACTCTAAACTATGAGACATACCTGAAGACAGGGGCAAAATGAAATACTAATTATAAAGCAGTTCTCCTAGCTGAGATTGGATGTGGGAACGGATAGAGACACTAGAGGGCAGAATGGATAAATACATTTACTTCCTGGATGGATAAGATGCCTATAGTGATAGCATAACAAACAGCTACAGCTTTCAAAAATATAAAAATAGAGTGTGTGAAGAAATAAATGGACAAAAAGCGTTATTAGCTATATGTAAAATAGTTTTAAATGGGAAAACTTATTATAATAAAAATCTAATATGTTATCCTATGTAACTAAAAAAAACATTCTCCCATTCTTTGTATTTCCACAAATTAAATAAACTAATTTTGATTTTATACACAAACATTCATCTGTTTGCATCTTGCAAATTATTTATCCAATATATCACATTCCATTTACTTGTATATAGACTCTTCTTGCACTATTTTATCTGTTTTATGTCCTATATATATTAATGTTGCACTGTTGGAGGAGCCTGTGACTTAAGTTTTTCATTGCCATATCCACACTGTAGCTAACGGGCAAATGACAATAAAAGCCTTGAATCTTCAATCTTGAATGAGCCGTTGCTTCTTGTGTAACCTTAACCCCTGAGTGCTCTCAGTGTCAGCTATAACATATTTCCCAATTCATTTCTGTAGAGCATATGTTACAGTTGATGTCATCACACATTTTAGAACATTGATGTTTGGATCATGATAAAATGTCTCTGATATTTTCGTACATCTTGCAGCTTCACTCACTCCTCTCATTTTATTTGTATTCCCTACCTGCCATATTCTGCAGATTGGAGCCCTCCTTCTCCCTGCCGGGGCCTATCCTCCAGTTGCCGCTGCTGCACAGGTCAGAACAGTACACACATTAGTCAGACAGCCTCACACTAACTTTATTATTGACTGACAGCAGGTCAAAGTTCAGCACTGCACTGTTGTTAGCAATAAAACACAGTGACTAATGGGCCTGAGATGGACGTTCTATTTCTGATGCTGGTTATGTAAAGGGAACTTGGAAATCACAGCTAACAACTCTTTTTCTCAGTTTTGCAGTATTGTGTGTAGGGCAACCAATAACTGAGGAAAAATGAGGCAAAGGCCACAAAGCAATAAAAGGTACGCCTACACTAAACAGTTTACAGTATATTGTGAAAAACAGCCAGTCCAGATGAACTTTGAATCTCTGGGCCTTTTCCTCTTGTTACATGGTGTCATTTTATCAGCAAGTAATTTGACTCACTGTCTATGAAAATGAAAAAGAAGCCTATATGAGATCCTGACTACTTTATCACTTTGCTGAGTCTGTAAACTATGATTCCTGAGTCATTTTATTGCCATGTAAGTTCCAGTTTATCACATACTTAAATTTGATCCCTGCAGTAAATTCAAAACTTCAACACAAAGTACTTTCAATTTAGCGTCAATAGAGTTTGACAGCAGACAATTTTGATCACTAAAGAACAATGATGTGAGTTTTTGTTGTTCTTCAGAGCAGATTTTGCACCATTGTGCGATCAGATATTGTTTTAGACGAGAGTAACGAATAACTGACTTGTCCAGGTTCTCAGGTGTCCCCCTGCAGAACTCAGGTTTGATGTCTCCATGAGCGACATGCTGCAGGCTGCCTCTCAGCGGGGTTGAGATGTAAGGGGTGGAAGTAGGGTTGGATCCATTGTTGTTGGCAGCAGCAGCAGAAGGGGGGGCGGCAGGAAGTGACGGCACGGTGAGACTGGCAGGGAACCAGCCCACTGTCAGGGTCCTCTGGTTCTGACCCTTCCACTCACACAGCTCCAGACTGCACAGAGAGAGACAATAGTTGAACAGAAACAGCTTCATTTGTTTAAAGTGAACTTTGACTTCTACTATAACAGTGGAACAAGTAGGCATGTGTCTTAAGCTTGGAATTAGAAACCATAAGATACTGGGAATACTAGATCGAGTAAGTCTGTGGCAACAAAACCCCTGAATGTAACTTCACTTTTCATTTTCTAAGAGGATAGATGTGTTATTTTTTCTTTTTAAAGTTACAAAGTCTGGCTTTAACTGGCAGAAACTGTCCGGTTCCTAGGAGGATGCATGTGATGTTGTGTTACCAGACTTCCTTAACTTCTCTAATGGCGCATTTCCACTACACGGCCTCGCTCGGCCTCGCTCGGTTTGGCTAGGCCTCGTTAGGCCTCGTTAGGACTGGCTCACTTTATGGCGCATTTCCATTACAGTTTAGGAACTGGGGTAGTAACTATAGTAACACAGTGTAGGCGGAGCCGTGACGTCATCTTCAATGAGCACCCCAGAAAAACAACATCAGCCGTTAGCTGTTAGCACTCAGAGCTCACAGCTCCTCATATATGTTCAGAAACTAGACAAAAGTTAAACAAGTACAAACCACAGACTGCCTGTGTCATGGCGAATACAGTCGCTGCTTTATTTATGTCTGTATAGGCCGTTGTTGTGAGTGTGGACGGTCGGAGCATATACTGCGTTAGCTTAGCCAATCTCCATCTAGAAAACACGCATTTTAAAAGGTTTTTCGCCTGCCGTCTGTCTGCAGACTTGACAAAGCATTAATTCATGGTTTTTACTAACCGGTATCAGTATGTTGTTACTTCGGCATCATTTTGAAACGTGTATTACAATTAAATCACGGTCAAATATGTTCATTTTGTTGTAGTTGTAGCCCCCTTGCCAGCGATTCTCTCTCTAGTTTAGCAAACTCAGCCCGACTCAGCCTGGTTGTTGGCCCGGAAAGAACCTCGATTTTATGGGGCCAGAAAAACTGTGAAATAGTACCCGCTAGCCGGAACTACGCTAAGTGGAAACGCAACCAAAAACGGGCCCCGCACGGCTCGGCACGCTTAAAGCGAGCTCCGCGCTGTAGTGGAAATGCGCCATAAGCCTTACTTTAGAAGAGTTAGAGGCTAAATAACACCTCCATTTGCTAAAAAATACCTAAGTGTTGCAACAATTACTGTAATAAGTGGACTTCATGATTAGATACACAAAAATATATTGCATACATTGATTCATAAAATGCTTAATATAAATGGCTTGAGCTTGAATAATTCTGTACCGATGTGTGTGTACACACTGTGTTATTAATAACAATACCTACAGAGTTGAATCGTGGTATATTATGTATTCTTACACCAGTTTATTTTGTGTATTTTACTGGCACTAAACACTAGCACTCTAATTTGACAGAGGCGGGTTTCAATGCATGACTAGGGGCCCTTCCAGAGGCTGAATAGCAATAAAGAAAGTTATGTTTTAAAATACTTATTAAGGTGTATTTATTGCTGAATGAAGATTTCTGTATGCAAAAGAACACCAGCAGACTGTGGCACAACAAATACATCTTAAGCCTGTTCAGCAAAGAAACACTTTATAGTGTCATAGCTGCTCGACTTGTTCAAACAAACAAAGCAAAATGTGCTCGAGTTACGGCTGGAATGCCATTCGAGAGGCTGATTTAAATCCCTGTTTCATCTTAACAAAGGCCCATTGTGCAGGTCAAAGTTTATCCTTTACTCTTTAAGTCCCACCCTCCTTTCTCTCACCCACCCATGGTCTATGACGGTCACAAGGTCGTTGGGCACAAGTGCAAGTTTTCTGGGTTCAGCAAAGTCTCTGGTTGCTTGCACTTCCATTGGTTTAGCCTGTGAATACAGACAGAGGAGTTGAGGGTAAAAATGCATTACATTTAATTCAGGTTTCTTCCAATAAGAGTTGATCAATAGTCCCTCCACTGATTTCTTCACCGGGGATATTAAGTTTCACATTATTTTGCTGACCTCTGACGCCATAGTGATGAGCTGTGCGAAGTTGGGTCTGTCAGCAGGATTGCAGGCCCAGCACTTCCTCATGACGGCGTACAGTTCTTGGGGGCAATCCGGCGGTTTCTCCAGACGCTCCCCCTCCCGCTCCACACGCCACAAAATCTGGATTAAAGAGAGTGAATGTCAGAGTCACTAAAACTGTGAGTCACACCGTCATCAGGGCGGGGACACGCATTCCACACGAGGACAAACACTCTGATTGGCATGGATACAAAAACTAAAAGCATGTTCACATGTTGCCGACAAGCGTGTACCTGTCTGCCTGAAAGCCCGAACCACGGCTCCTCGCAGTAGGTGAACATCTCCCACAGGGTGATGCCAAACATCCACACGTCAGAGGAGTGGGAGAAGGAGCCGACCCGGAGACTCTCTGGAGCACACCTGCAAGAAAGAAGTAAATAAAGACGTGATTATAGAGAATTTTAAAGAGGCCCCATCATGCTTTCTGGGGTTTCCCCTTTCACTACGTAACACTTGCCCTTCTATTGGCTAGCGCTCCAACACATTGTACGCCAAAGGGTGGGATATTTCCGACACATTTCTAAGCAGTTGACCAATCACAACAGAGCCGGCCAGCTAGCCAATCAGAGCAGACTGGGCTCTGGTGTTGGACAGAGGGTGAAAAGTATGAGAAAAATAAATACCTTTTTGAACATTATAGCAGGTAAACATGTCACAGTAGAGGGACAAAATACAAATATGAAACCTTAAAATGAGCATAGCTTGTCCTCTTTCAATGTTATCTCCCCCTCCAGCCCATTTTCTCAACACTCCTCACCATGCAAATGGTATCCTCCTGTGTGCTTTCATCACATAGTGGTCCGTCTCTTGGCTCAGGCCTCTCATCAAGCCAAAGTCTCCGATCTTCACAATCTCCCTGGATGACAGCAGGACATTTCTTGCAGCCAAGTCTCTGTGGATAAATCTCCTCATCTCCAGATAGTCCATACCCGCTGCGATCTGGGTAGCAAAGAGCCAGAGACGCACCAGAGGGTACTCAAACTGACGGGAGCGCAGGGTGTCGTATAGTGAGCCCATGGGGGCCAGCTCTGTTACCTAGAAGAAAGACAAATATGTGATTGTGTATTGCAGCCTCTAAAACATCTTAGTTTGAATAGATCCATGTATGATCTCAATGTTAAAACATCAAATGAAAACATCTTACCATCTTGAGGGGCTGTGTGAGCACCACACCATAAAGCCGGATGATGTTGGGGTGGTCCAGGGATTGCATGATGGTCACCTCTTGGAGGAAGTCTGTCAGTGTCTCTGTCTGCCTGGACATGCTGCTCCTCAGTGACTTTACTGCTACAGGTAACTGAGAGGATGGAAAAGAGACACGGGTTCAATCCCAATCCTGCATCTAAACCCACAGCCTCTGGTTTTTCACAATAAGGGTGCGCCATGTTAAAAACCAGACGGTGTTTGGGACTTCTAGATAGGGTGTAACGGGACATGGTAACCCTCTGAGAGCAAGACCAGACTTGTCATTTGTCACTATCCCTTTCCCGTCAAGCATATACTCCCGGATTAAGACTGTCCCCGAGTTTGAGTTACGAGTCATAATGCCTTCTTTAACAAACTGAATGCCATTTTAGACCTGCATGTTAAGCACATATTGGTCGACCACTGCATAGTTTCATTTACACTATGATTATTATCTTTGCTCTAACTTTTCTTACTGGCGCTCATAAGTTTTTCATAGTTCTTTCGTGCAACGTGATTGGATACTGTCATATATCAACAGTTAGGCACTACCTGTGTCTGTCTGCTGTTAAGTGTGGAAAAAGTAGTTTACAGTGTGTTATTAGAGCCTTTAATGGTTGAAAATGGCTGTCTGCTGCGACTGAAAATAACGCTAACATTAACATAATAGAACAAAGTGCCGATAGACACTTAAATACTCTTATGTGCTATTTTCTAAGAGAACAAAAGCTACATGAGCTGAGGAGAATTGCGAAAGATGCTTGATAATTATTGGGTTTGTAACTTCCAACTTTGTGAACAACACTTGAATCCTGCACACACACCTTTACCAACACTTAGTTGATTTTAAAATCACATCACATGTTCGACAAAGTAAATTAAAAGCATTTTCCTTTATCCTTAAATAAATGCATTTGATATGTACTTATACTGTATTGGCATGCAAGCAGCAATCAAACAGAAAATGTTCCATCTATCTCATAGCACACTTGTAATGGAGGGTAACTATCTGTAGAAGATGTTACAGTATCTATCAGAAGGAATTGCCCAAAAAGATAGTTTATAAAATGTGTCTCTCACCACTCTCCCATTAGGCGTGTGCCACTCCCCCCTCTTCACCACCCCAAAGGAGCCGGAGCCCAGCTTCTCTGCCAGAATCAGCTCGCTGTCCTGGATCAGACTGGGAAGAGCCCGGCTAACTTCCTGAACCGGACCACCCCCTCTCCACTGATCCCCTCCTTCCGTATCTCGAGAGCTTGCCACCTTTATGTATCATTAAAGGAATAAAAACATATTACTGATAACCATGCCTGAGTACATGTAGTTCGCACACAATATATATTAACTTTACATCAAAGATATACTACATGTGTCCGACCTTGGCCACCCCCGGCCGTCCTCGAGCATTTGTCTTGTAGCGTTTCAAAGCCTCCCATAATCTTCTTTGTGCTGAGAGAAAAAAAGATATATAATTATATACAACAAGCAATACATATCTGATTTCAACAGGCTTTACATCTAAAGTAAATGTTTTACAACAGTGAATTAAAAAAAATTGTACTCAACAATAACTCTTTGCATCCAATAGCGAAGTCACAATGAGTAAACCAATGACTTATGGTCATATTTGTCAAAATCATTGACAAATGAATGCTGTTCTACATAATTGAACCGTCTTGTGGAGAGACAAACTGTGCCAAAGGGGAAATCCTCCCTGTCTGAGGAGACAGATACCTAATGATTTGTACTCATATGGATGTTCAAAGGAAACAATCTTGCTCACCAGGTTTGCTGATTCCTATGTGCTCCAGGTCGGACTCCTTGACGTAGTTGAAGTGCTCGATGCGGGTGATGTTGAGGCCATCTCTGAGGCGCATGTAGAACTTCTCCAACTGGACCTCTACCAGGAGATGGTACAGCCACTGAGTGTCCTGGTCCATCAGCATCACCCGACCTACCCGCCTGCACGGTCAAAGGTTCAACGTCAATTATAACAACTTTTCAGTGTTTTTTGTTGATTTAAAAAAAATACTTTCCATTAAATCTTTGGTATTTGGTCGTTGAAACTTCACGATCATCAAGCCCTGAATCACATCAAACTATTGACACAATAAACCAGTTCTCTATTTGAGTCTTCCTCGTCTCATTAAAGAGCCTGTTTAACAGTAACCCACTTGGGCCTTGTTAGGTAACCATGGCAACCTTACAAAAACGGTTGATGTGAGATGCCGGAGGGGGTTGGTGAGCTTTTAGCTGTGTGCCAACTTTTTAACAAGTTGTTGGTTTGTATCCAATGAGAGTCCTGTGTACTCTTTACAGCTACTACAACTTTAAGCTTAAGTCATTTGCATAAGTTCACACTTCCAAACAGGCAGTTCACTGACCCAATGAGAAAACAAAAATAAATGTAAAAGATCCTCTTTTCATTAGAAGCATGGACTCGTAGTTTCATCATCAGTGCTGGGAACTTATTTGTGACTAACGTGAACCGCAAAGACGATGACACTGCAGGAAACATGAAAAACTGAGAGGTGGAAACATTAGCTTGCTTGTGGTTTGGGGCAGCAGTCATTCAGGATCCTGTTCACACACAGCATTCATGTAAGTGCTAAACATGTGATGTGTTTGACAGCAGCATGGCAGCTCTTTTTGTAGCTTCATTTTCACTTTAAACTTAAAGGGGACCTATCATGCAAAATGCACTTTTGTACGTCTTTTATACATGAATATGTGTCCCCGGTGTTCCAGGGAACTCACCAAGTGTCAGAAAACACAACCCTCTCCATTTTCCTCCATACCCAAATCTCTAAAAAAGGGGCTGCAACGGATCTGATAAAGACTGATCCAGATTTGAACACTGTCCTGACGTCAGTGGCGCTACGGCTATTGGGCCAACTCCACCAATCAGGAGGAGACAGCCACGGCCATTGCCGTTCGAAAGCGCTGGAGACGCTGTAGTACATATGCCAGGCCTGTAGATGGTGCTGTTCTCACTGAATCTGCCCCTCCAAAAACAGAGCTAGAAATTGTCAAATTGAGCAAAATGAGGCATGGCTAAAATTCATGATCTGTTTGGTATTTTGAAAAAAAAAAAGTATAAATATGCCTTATATAGGTATGGTCCTACACTATATTATTCAAATATAGCATGATAGGTCCACTTTAAATATATTTGTTCTAATGTGCAATCTTATCTTTTAATAAGCAAATTCCAGTGCCTTTACTCAGAGGTGCAATAGCGAGAATGAGTTTGCACAACTTCCTTATTGCTTAAAATGAAAATGTAATACATCTTGTGTTGGTTTCTGCTCTAAGTGTTACTAGAGGGTTGTACAGCAATACACCCAATGCTTATCAGGCCAGCAGGTATGATTCAGGGAAGGCCTTCAGCATTCCCCTGTCAGCTACCCTGGGAAAAAATTAACAACATGCTAAACACGAGCAGAGCCACATTGTTTGCAATCATTGGGCTCGTTCTCTAGGCCAACTGATGCTTTAAAATCCAGGAGTGTGCAACAGGGTACTAGCCTGGGCTTGCATTAGTTTCTAGGGACTACTCCCAATTAATTTGCACCCAACTTGACTAAGTCTTGTCTGCGGGTTATATTCTAATTCAGAAGGGATAGATGGTAAACAAAGAGACCTCTGTGATCATTCTCTCTATGTACAGAGTGATCAATATTTAACCTGCCTGGCAGCTACTGAACAACTCTTGCAGCCTAAATGGCATGTGTGACCAAGCGTCAAACTATTTAGTTAATAGCTTAATTTGCTAAAAAGGCAGGCGTGGAACTTGCTTGACTTTTATCTTGCAACTTCAATATCTGCACTGTTGTTTATCCAATCCAAGAGTGGAGAGCCTTTGTTTACACTGGTGATGGCCGCTTCCTTCCAAGAACACATGGAGATCAACCAGCAGTGACCCACTTGACCCCTTAAGTCACCCATTAATGAAAAATGTCATAGACATATTACTACACGAGTGTGCCTCTTTCCCAAGATACTGTGTGTTTCTTCATGTACAGCAATAGGAGTGCAGTCATGAGCAGAGTTGTTTTAATTAAATCAAAATAGCAATACTGCAATGTAAAATACTGCATTTAAATAAATACAAGGTAAACATATCTAAATGCATCACAATAATCAGCAAATTGTACTTATGTATAAAGACTAAAAGGTACTTAATTCAGCAGAATAGCCACTCGATGATATGCTACATTTCTGGATTTATTATTAATGATGGATTACTGTAATCCATCACTAATAGTAGCAGGAAGCAGCATTTTAGTGTTGCAGGTAAAGTGATTTATGATGGTTTGGTAGTTTGATCCATAATAATGGATCATATTTTATGAACAAATGAACACCATTTCTGTAGCCTTTATAAAAACAATTAAACCTCAAGAAAAACCAGTACTTTTAAAAAAATATATTATTAACACAATTTAGTGACAGTTTTTTTGTCAATGCTATAAGGTATTAATTTAATATTTCAGAGCTTTTTGAAACCAGATATGTTGATATTCTTTCTGACATTCAGCATCTCCTCATAATTCAGAGTCCACAAAAACCCGGTCAGATAACTCATTTTACTCACCGTTAATCAAATTAGTCAGATATCCGGTAGGCTAGTTGACACCTAAATTTTATACGCCCGAGACAAGTGATCCATGTTGGCGCTGAAACCTCCAGAAAAGTCGACGGAGGCTTTTCCCCACAAATCAAAACTCCTCTCTCAATCCTAAACTTTCTCCAAAAAATATTCTGGCAGGTGATGTCAAAGTTTTTGTATCGTGTTTCTTTGAGGCACTAGAAGCGGGTTTGTGAGATCTACCTGTGTGTTTTTCAGCTCTTTTCTCCGCCTCTTTGCAGTTTCTTCACTGACCACACCTCTTCCTGCCTTTCTCACCTGAGCTCTCAACAACAGCTCAAACTTCCAGACGATATGAAATGACCTGCACAGGTAAAAACGTTACCGACATAGCCTACTGTAAGCACAAAACAGAGTATCTACGTCACTCATTAACAATGAGTCAACAGGGTTAACCTGACAGGGAAATTACATTACACACACATACATTGTGTTTAGCCTGTATTTTAAAATATTACACATTGTCATAAAGTCAAGAAAATATAGCTAATAAACTCAGTTACTAGTTTATTGGGTAGGCTATACGTGTACATAAGCTAGTTGGGTAAGCCTACATCTATATGTTCCAACAAACAAACTAGCATTTAGGTATATGCTACCTAATGCACCTAGCTAAAACTAAATGCTTGTTTATTTGGTACACCAAAAAAAAGACAAATTCTAGTTTATTTAATAGGCTACACCAAATGTAACACATTGCTAGTTTATTGTGTACACCATTATCGCATGGCTATATTTACATTGCACATATTGTACAATGTGCTAGCTAAAACTAAATGCTAGTTTATCTGATAGGCTACACCAAAAGTAACAAATTGTTAGTTTATTGTGTACACCAACATCGAATGGCTTTATTGTCATGGCACATATTGTACAATGTACTAGGCAAGGCAAGGCAAGTTAATTTATAGCCTATAGCACATTTCAACACAAGGCAATTCAAAGTGCTTTACAAAAATGAAAGACATTAAGAGCATTAAGAAACATATTATGAAATTACATTTAAAAACACTCATTTAAAAGCAACGATAGCTAAAATGTAATGCTAGTTTTCGGGTACACCTAGCTGAAACAGTTTTAGCTATTGCACCTTATTAGTTTTAGTTTGAATGAAACTAAATTAATCAACCATTCAATAAATACTTTCATAAAGTGTATTATGTTACGTTTTTGTAAGAAATTAGTGTCAATTGCACTGTATGGTCATTTTGTAGGCTGTATTTGTGATCCACATGACCCCTTTCATATAAATAAGTAAAACAGTTAAAAAAATAAACATTAGACCTGTAACCTCCATTGCAGAATGAATTATTGTATTGCAGCTTTATTAGACTGCATTAGTTATAAGCCAGAAGTATAATGAAATAGGAAATTGAATAAAATCAAGTCATATGAAGTGGGTATGATGTGTTATGTTTTTGGCCTGGATAATTATGCACTTGTAAAATGAGTCATTGCTAAGGTTAAAATGTTTTCCTTAGCGTAAATAACATGATTAATTGTCTCCATTTGCCATGTTCAGTTGTTTTCTTTCTGTTTGTATTCAACAGAAACTTGCTATGAGTCAAATGAAGAAACTCAAATGTGTTTGTGTCCTTGTCTTTCTCTTCTCCATACCTGCTGTTGCCAAGCAAGTTGGACAGGATTTTTTTTTATCTTCCTACATGTGTGTTCATTTGAATGCAAACCAGGCAGCGCTGTGGAGGACCTGCCTGCACTTTGCACTTCCTGTTACAGTATCTCCCTTAGTCGTTCCTCCCTGCCTCGTTTCCTGATTATTCAATACCACCCACACAATGGATTTCAATGGAGCAGCCATCCAAAGGAACTCATAAACAGAAGCTTCACACTTCTCTCATGCACTTTTAACTAGATATGGATTAAGACCAAATGGCAGTTTGTTGTTAATAAAAGAAAGTGACATGTTGCAGGAATACATGTGAGTTTTAAATCATTAGTGTATAGAAAGCTTTGTGAAAGGCCAACTTTTTTAACCAAGAGCTTAACAAACAATACAAATAAAACATATGATGACTTCATTAATAGGAATGAAAGCATCACAAGAATGAACAGTTTAAGGAATTCATTAATTTTAACCCACTACAACATGTAATTTCCAGGATTTGATGAGCAGTCTTGTGTACAGGCCAAACAAGGAGTGTGTGGCTCAGATGCTTACACTCCTCCTGCTGTCTTAAGTCTCTGAGGCTGAAATAACTTAGTGTCAGTTTACAGCATGGGTACATCTTATGAAGGTAAATATGGTGCAAAATGAGAGAGCTTTCTCTGAGCTTGTGTGCATACATTTACACTTGTATAAAATATCCAAGTATCTTCGAACCAAATTTGAAGTCACAGACAAAAAAAAAGTGTTGTAGCTTGTAGAAAAAAAATGAACTTAGTGAGGAAATGTTCACTTGCAGAAAAATATATATTTTTAAAATATATTTTTCATTACAACTGCAACTTGGTTATTACAACCTCTCAAATCAGTCATTACAACTTCACAAATCTGCTCTGTGGCAGTATAAATCGACGAATATGCGGCCTTGACTTTTGCTACACTTCTTGCGATGAATGTGTCTAAAGTAAAAAAAACTGACACATTCAAGTGAAAATAAATAAAAATAACAAAGATAAGAAAGCTATGCACAGCAGATTGCCTGTATACAAATGTGATTATGTTTTGTATGTTTTTTTACATTTGTTTTATACTTTTTATGCATGAGAGATAATAATCATGCAATATGTAAAAATAATGTGGAATAATGTCAAAGGGATGTTATCTTATTATGGGTCTAATGGAGGTCATTATGGTTTAAAGAGTAGCAGGCACCAATGCATCACTGAGTATGCATCCTAAAAAAGTAAGAATAATCATGATCACAATAGAAATAGCGAGGTCATGCTTTTAGGAATATGTTTGTTTAATTATTTTATTGGTTAGAGAAAAAAAAAACTGTAAAAAATATACATTTGATCATACACTGTCTGCTGATTTAATGGAAATAAATAGCAACAGCGACCTCTGCTGTGTGATTGTAATAACAGTCATTGGCTGTAAGTGGCAACGTCATCACACCGCGACAACATGTTTCTACTTTTTCCTAGGACAACGTTGATAGTAAAGCTCAACATCTGTTTTGTAATCTTAGGATGTGAATTGGGAAACTAAGCGAGCTAATTCTACAAGCCACTTCATCTAGTTGTCTTTATCTACATACAAAAAGACCCCGGAAGTCCTTTTATCTCCGTATGCAGATGTAAACACATGGCTTGTTGTCCTGTCTGATGCTCAATTATGCCAAAACTCTTTGAGATCAAGTTTCCAGGAGAATGTAAGACTCTTCCCGAAGGCTTCTGGTCAGCTGTGGACGTGTGGATAAAGAAACCCCACGTTGTGAACAAGCGTCTGTGCGGGGTGAAGGAGACGGAGAGTAGGGATGTGGGCAGAGAGGCGGTGCTGTCGCTGCTGGAGGAGCCTGACCTCGCTCAGGATGTGCTCTCCTTCATGACCTGCTGCAGGAATACACCTGAGAATACACACGAGAAGGAAACCCCCTGGGTCTCCAGCGTCAGGACGTTTATTCCTAAAGTCAACAACTATGGGACGAACCTGCATAAGGAGGTTATCCTCAAAGGTAAGAGTGGACAGAGGTGGGAGAAGTACCAGAGTGTAGGAATACTCTGTTACAAGTAAATCAAAATGTTACAAAAGTATTAGCATCACATATCCCTAAAGTACTCATTCTGCAGATTGGTCCAGTTCAGAATAATATATAGTATATGTTTTGATTATAATTATTAATGCATTTAAGTGTTATCAAAACTGGTAAAGGTGCAGCTTGTTTGAATGACTTTGTATACTGCAGGGTAGCTTGTGAATTTACTCCAGGTGTAACTAAAGTCGTATTTAAGTGTTGATTATATTTCACATCATTAATCCAAAGTCTGTAAAGTAACTAAAGGAATTAGATATATGTAGTGGAGTGAAAGTTCATGATTTACCTCTGAATTGTATTGGAGTACAAAGTAACATACAATGGAAATACTCAAGAAAAGTACAAGTATCTCAATATTGTACTTAAGTACGTTTTCTTTATTTCTTTGTAGCCTACTCCTTCATTTCTATACGTTTTTGACGCAATAATGCCAATCTTATATTGATGCCAATGATGATTCACGAGAGGGCTACTTCCCATAAGCTATGCTTCAGCCCTCCCGCTTCTACTAATTTCGTTCATTTTGTGTGTATGAATTATACTTCTTTGTTGTTGTGTGAATTTAGTAGAATACATTTTAAAAAGTACAGTACTGGAGTAAATGTACTTGTTACTTCCCACCTCTGAGAGTGGATTTGAATGAAAAGCTCTACCAAACTCTGTTCTCCTCTAAAAACCTCTTTATATCTCTTGAATCCATTTTAGACTTCGGCAGACAACAGGTGACATTTCTTCCGTTTGAAGAGGGTTCAGAAGGAAAGGTCTCTCTCAAGAGGGGAAACATTTATCAGTTCCAGCTCCTCCATCAGGACTGTGAGGAATGGTGAGTGGCTAATACAAAAACATTTTTACATGATCATTTTTTAAATCTATTTGTATTCAAGCAAAACCAAAACAAAAGTGACTTTACAGCTACAACAATGATAGGAACAGGGGAAAGACAACATAGAGAACATAACAAATAATTAAAAAAAGGATACAAAATTGTCAGAGGGGATGTTATCGGCAGGGTGTTTATTATGGCGCGTTTCCACTACAGCGCGGAGCACGGTTTAAGAGGGCTGTGACGTCAGCGGCCCGTCTTTGGTTGCGTTTCCACTTGGCCTAGTACCGGCCGGCGGGTCCTAATTCACAGTTTTTCTGGCCTCATAAAATCGTGGGTCTAGGGCCAGAGACAACGAGGCTGAGTCGGGCTGAGTATGCTAAACTAGAGAGAGGATCGCTGGCAAGGGGGCTACAACTACAACAAGATGGACATATTTGACCGTGATTTAATTGTAATACACGTTTCAAAATGATGCCGAAGTAACAACATACTGATACCGGTTAGTAAAAACCATGAATTAATGCTTTGACAAGTCTGCAGACAGACGGCAGGCGAAAAACCTTTTAAAATGCGTGTTTTCTAAATGGAGATTGGCTAAGCTAACGCAGTATATGCTCCGACCGTCCACACTCACAACAACGACCTATACAGACATAAATAAAGCAGCGACTGTATTCGTCATGACACAGGCAGTCTGTGGTTTGTACTTGTTTAACTTTTGTCTAGTTTCTGAACATATATGAGGAGCTGTGAGCACTGAGTGCTAACAGCTAACGGCTGTGTTGTTTTTCTGGGGTTCTCATTGAAGATGACGTCACGGCTCCGCCTACACTGTGTTACTATAGATACTACCCCAGTTCCTAAACTGTAATGGAAATGCGCCATAAAGTGAGCCAGTCCTAACGAGGCCTAGCCATACCGAGCGGGGCCGAGCGAGGCCGTGTAGTGGAAACGCGCCATTAGTCATTCTCCATTCCCTCCTCACTTTGTTAAAACACTACAGGGTCCATATTTGCTGTGGCGTACTTTAAATACAGCACATTTTTTATTCTTAACAATTGATTTTGACATTTGACTCCTGAAGACACACCCTTAATATTGGTTTATTAACAAGGAGACATTCCAACATTAAAGACCTGGTCTTTTCATTACTGTGATACAGTTAGCGCATATTCCTGTATTCACTTTCATTTAAATTAGGTAACTCAGAGTAACACTGAAGCTCCCTGTGCTCATGGTGTTAACGGTAAAGTCACCTGACATGACATACAATGCATATTCTTAGTGATCGTACAATACTTCACAATAAACAAGTTTAAGACGGTAACAATCATCTTCCTCTGCAGGTCGTTGGAGCTGCATGTTTTGGCCTCAGACCAGTGGTTCTCCGATGGCGTGGCGTACCCGAGGCTGCCCTGGCTGTCCTCAGATCTGCTGCCCAAACTGGTGCGCTGGGCCACCGAGTGCAAGAGCAGCGAGTTCAGGAGCACCCTGTCCCTGCTGCCGGTGGAGAAGTACAGCGTCATGTACCAGACGCTGAAGGAGAAGTACAAGGCCATGGTCAAGGTAAAGTCTGCCCAGCGACAGAGGCGTATAAACTGTGTTGTTGATTCTATTTCTTGATTTTTAATACTGAATACCAATGCTTTTTTTTAGGTTTGGCCTGAGGTTACAGATCCTGAGAAGTTTGTCTATGAGGATGTTGCCATTGCTACATATCTCCTCGTGAGTTCAAACCTGGTTTTTAATATTGTTTTATAACGATCGATTTGAGAAGGAGTTATTTTGCAACATACCTAATATGTCTTTTCATATTCATTTTAACCTGTATGACCACCACAAACACATCCATTCTGTACATATATGTTAAGGTGAAGCTCTTGTTTTTATCTGTCACATGTTGTAAGGTCATGAATCCAAGAGAGTCTCAATCAATCTGAGTATGAAAAAAGGCTTTGACTCAGTAAATTGATTTATGTGTCACACCAGAGGCAGGTGAAAGGGTGTGAGCAGCATCTGCAGGTGATTAAAAGCTTTCTTGATCAGACAGTGGTGTTCAATCTCTGTCACTGAACTGCAGGTGCTGTGGGAGGAGGAGCGAGTGGAGAAAGGTCTGACTGAAAAACAGTCCTTTGTGGACCTGGGCTGTGGAAACGGCCTCCTGGTTCACATACTGGCCAATGAAGGGGTAAGTAATGTGGTGTATAAATGTTGGCTCTGTTTGATTTACAGTACTCCCTGGTTAAAAGCTAACTGAATCTCCTGGAAAAGTACCAGAAAACCCAATGGTGTTATTTAGATAAGTGGTAACTTAAATAGGCCTAGTTTTTTACTAAATTCCTACACCTAAAACCCACAACAGACTGAACCCAGAAGCACAACCGAGAGCAGTGACCTCCGCAAAGGCCAGATGCCCCTATCTCTCAATGTTAACTTATGAAAAATAATGAATGCTTTCGCTCTTGAATGTGTATCTGCTGCAAAATGTAATTGGTTCCTCCTTGACCCTTCCACAAAGTTTTATGAAAATTGCCAGTAGTGTCTCCATGGTGGAGGTTTGTACATTTGACAGGAGATATCTACTAACTAAAAAAAACGACAATTGTTTTAGAATTTAATGGCCAAATCTAAAAGATAACAAACAAACATATTATGTTAACTATCACATATGATTAAATCAAACAGCAAATAGAAAAACAGGACAGTTTTATCTTTTTTTTTTAACATAAACAATGAACCAATTATTCAAAAAGTTTCCGATTGATTGTCTTTAGATCATCTAATCAATTGATTGAAAGAAAACGATTGCATCTCCTGTCTGGACCGACTGCCAGAGCCATGCTACTTGCTTTAGTGGCACTTCTAATAAGATGGATTCACATGAATATAATTGCTTATTATAATAAGGAAGGAATAACAAATGTAACTACTAATAAATACAAATAAACTGCCTATTTAAATACTGGAGTTCTTTTAAATCTTCACCAGCAGCCTAATCAATGACACAGGGCTGGTGGGGCGTAGTGAGGGGGATTCGCGTCTCTGAATTCATAACATCCACAGTACCGTGTCGCTTAAACGGCCAATCACAAACTAGGACAAGTGTAATTGAATTTCCACGCAGCAATCGGCTGACCGTCATGCCGTCTTGTGTTGCAGCATCCTGGAAAGGGCATCGATGTTCGGAGGAGGAAGATCTGGGACATGTTCGGCCCCCAGACTCTGCTGGAGGTGAGCAAGCTGAGCATGAAGAGGGGGGGCTCATTGTAACTTATTTAGGTTTATTATAACTTCACACAATACAGGGAAGCCATATCACAGGCTGTAGGTGTCTGTTTAGCTGGATTCGAAACAGTACACTTTAACTCCATGATCATTTTGTAAACACTATGTGTCATGTGATAGCTAATTATGGACCTGGAAGTGTTGTTCTTTTTGAATGTACAAATCCAAAGAAAGTAAGGATTACATTTGAGTTGCAGATATAAAATAATAAGACATCATGAATACATGTATTGGTAAAAAGAAAAAGTCATGTTTAATTTCCATTGTTTTTTCCATTTTAATAACACTCAAAACACCTTTTTAAAATGTCTGTTTTTGTACCCAACATTGGCCATTAAAAGTTGAATTCATGCAATCCTATTATTTGTTTTAGACTTTCGGGATGCTGTGTGTAAAGATTAGTCTATTAATCGATTAATTGATTGACAAAAAAATCCATTGTTAACAATTTTGATAACCCATTCATTGTTTTATATGGACAATGTGAAGATGTCCTGCCTTTAGAGGTTTCGTTCTTTTATTGGTTGTATACAGTATAAGTTATTAAACAATATATTTGGGTTGAAAGATGTTAAATGGACAAAAAAATTAATTGATTAATGTATCCAATACTTGCAGATGATTCGAAGCATTTTGCAGAAATCAGCAAGAAAAAACCTTTACCTGTTATTTACCCGTCATAAAACGGGAACATTTTCACCCTGACATTTTACCCTGGCAGTGTTACACTTAAAGAAACTAAAATGAGAAACAGCACTGCTGCACAGGGGTCTAACAGTGAATCAAGACGGATCCATGTGAACATTCACACATTTGCAGAGTACCCTGTCCCAAAAACACTTCACTCTCCTCTCTGCCTCCTCATTTATTTGACATCAAGCTGCTGACTGCTTCCATTTCAGCTCATCTATTATTGACTGATTCTTTGGGAGCGGATGTGCCAGACCAATCTTTTCTGGGCCCCCAGGGGTGCTGTGTGCAGTCCCAAACCTTTATTTGGAGGCTCTCTCTGAACCTCACAGGTTTCAGTGCTACTACGCTTCAATATGTGGGATGTTGGTGCGATATACCATGTTTTTACATAGATTATTAGCTTGATTTGCTGGAATTGTCTAACCCATTTTGATCATCCAAAAGTCATTATTTTGCCAAGAAAGCAATTGAATCCAATCAACCAACCAAGCCCAAGTTTAAATCAGCTTTCATACATTTCACACTGATATATAAAAAGTTTGAGATAAGACTTTTCCTTTAAATACAAATTCCTGAGTCAGAATTAAATCACACCAGCTTGCATCTTCCCCGCTTTAAGGATCTCTTGTGATTTTTGGGTCTTTGCTATTTTAGGAAAAGGCAATTACTCCCAGCGAGAGCTTCTTATTCCCGGATACGGACTGGCTGATTGGGAACCATTCGGACGAACTCACACCCTGGATCCCCGTTATAGCTGCCAGGCGAGTCATCAGCAGACACAATCTCACTCAGCAGCTGAAGGGCCAGCTGATCTCCCCAATTTGGAATAACATTATGGCCAGAGAGAGGATGTGTGAATGTGTGTGTGTGTGTGTGTTAGTCAGTACAAAAGTTAGTGTGTTTTAAAGCGTCCACCTGGTGGCGATGTTGAGCCTCAATCTGAGAAATCTACTTTGAAGTGACACAGAGGATAATCTCTAGGAATGGATTGTTGTTTCCTTTCTGTTGAAAAGACAAAAAATGTGTAATTGTTATTTTCGATGGCACAGGGTATGATTATATTCCTTTTCTCTCTCTTCAGATCATCTTATTCCTGTCGGTACTTCGTCCTCCCCTGCTGCTTCTTCGACTTCTTTGCAAAATACCAGAGACGGCATTGTAAGAAGTCTCAGTATAAAGAATACATTGACTTCATCACGGAGGTCAGCGTAGTCAGTGGCTTCAACACGGAAGAGGACTGCCTGAGAATACCTTCCACCAAACGGGTAGGCTCACAGAGTTGGGACTAAACACCAATGCTTATGTTGTTGACTTCATATAATATAAGACTTCTCTCATTCTAAATATTTGTCATATTGTGGGATAAACATGTTTTTTTCCTTTTTATTGTATACTCAAAAACAAGTGAAAAGGTCCTATGGTCCTGAATGGTTAATATCAACACACAAAGCTCCACTTATCCTGGGTCACGCAGCAAAACCTCTACATCCTTCACTTCCCACAATGCAACTTAATGGTGTCATTGGACCATTCTTGATAAATACCAACGTCTTTCAAACTCTAAACTCTGGTTTTTAATCAGAGACTGGTTTTATGAGCAATGCATTATATTACCAATGAAATAACCCTTATGTGTAAAGCTGGTACCAGTGTGGTGGTCTGCCTAAATAACAAAACAGATGGAAACATGACTAAGGTATCACTTGTGCCATTCATTTTACCTAGAATATTTTCATGAAAATACCACAATAATAGCAAAGATGGTTGTAACCTGTTGATATACATACAACACTTTCACAGTCTTGGCAGTAGAAGTGTGTCAAATGACTAAATAGTGAATCAGTTGGTGGTATAAAGTTAATGTTGGTTTCTTGATTAGCTAGTGCACATGAACTTCATATAACTATGAAGTCGTAGGTGTTACTCATCTCTTTTTGCTCTATGATTTTAATCTTTCTCCACTGTGAATGTCTAATAAAGTAGATAACATTTCCATATTTCTTTCTAATAAAAGAGGTTATTAGAATTCTCTGCAAAATTATCATAAAGTGTATTACTGTTCCTCAAACAGGCACAGCTGTACATCCCTGCCTTTCCTCCAACTGATCCTCAATTAGTGCTTCAGACAGAAATAAATCAGGTCTTTATCATTCCCAAAGGGACGTTTCCTTCACAGCTGGCCATTAATGGCTTCAATACACACAGACACGTAATGAACACAAGCAAGTGTTTACAGGGCTGTTAATGTACAGTCAAAATATGCTTGTTTGAAAGAGGGAAAGCTTCCCCAACATCAGTACTACATATATTCAAAATGATTTGCGTGGGCATAATTCAGTTTTCTGTCCACAATAACACCTATATTTAGGACTCGTATTCTTCATTTTAAAGTGTTTTTTGTACACCTTGGACACTCGGCACCCATGGGACTCAAACCCTGACATTTAGCTTATTTTTCCACAGGTGTGTCTGGTGGGAAAGTCAAGAAACTACCAGATATCTGACGAGGCCGAGGCAGAGGAGCGAAGAGCTCGATACATACAGAGCCGCCAGAAGGCCCCTGGGCCCACAGTTCAAAGGTCAGACATCAGAAGTGACGGGAACTGTTGCCATGGAGAGGGAGACCCTGACAGGACCCCTGACAGCAGCTGGGGAGTTGGTTTCCAGCCCAGAGACAAGGTGGAAACGGTTCGAAACTGTGCTGCTCTCCCGCGGGACTTAGTCAACAGTGTGGTCCTGCAGGTTGCTAATGTAATCCTGGGAATGACTGAAGAGGATGGCGGAGGGTCCTCCAGTGACTGGAATCGAGGAGGTAAACCACAACACCCACATAACACCCCAAAAATCTGTCTCCCTGGGCATGAGCTGCTACAGAAGCGATGAACAGGCTCAAATTAAATCCAGAGTAGAACACATTATCAGAGAATCTCACTGATCCAGTCATGTTATTGTGCACTTTGGGAGTTTCTGAATTCATTACTTCTGTTGCCGAGCAGCTATAAATATCTCCTACAAAGGGAGAGATTAGTATCTACTGAAGCAGGGAAGTTGAGGAGATAAGGGCCAAAGTTTCCAGGCTGGTTGGCAAACGTTACAGATACTAAGGCTGTGATAGGACTTTTAATACTTATTAAGTCACCTTAAAGAACCACTGCTTTGAAACCAACACAATACTAAAACATTGCAGGTGCTAGCTACACTCTGGATCTACAGACACAATGTTTTAGTTTAGCTTTGTCCTACATTTTAAAGGTCCCATGTCATGGCCATTTCTACTGATCATAATTCCATTGTTGAGGTATACTAAAATAGATTTATACTGTGCAATTTTCCAAACTCACATTGGTTTCTCATACAGCATCTCTGTAAAGTATGTGTATTCACCGGTATTCACTCTCTGTCTTAAACGGCTTGTTCGAGCTCCTGCCCCCCCTCCCTGTGAGCCCAGTGTGCTCTGATTGGTCGAGAAGCTGACAGGCTCGTTGCTGCTCGCACACACACAGACACACACACTGCTGCGGGCTGCTGCAGGAGCAGACAGGCTTGGCGATACAGCGTGAACAAGCTAAACTCATCCTGAGCACACAAACACTCACAGCCGAAGTAAAAACCATAAGTGTGGCTTGATATTGAGTAAGAAAAAGGTTTATAATGCTGTGAGCATGGGTCTGCGGAGAGCATTTCTCCGCGATCCCAACGTAGTAGTCCGAAAAACGTTTACCCATTTAAACAGTCATGGTAGATACCTTGTTTGATTTAAACATCATAAATACACAAACAACAATGAATACTTACAGGTTGTGTACCCGAATCTCCCGCTGGTCCAAACAAAGTAGGAACAGCATCGTTCTTCAGTTAGACCCTCCAGAAAAACGCGGGCTAAAATCCTTGATTATGCGGGCTAAAATCCTTGATTATGCGATTAAACATGCGGGGTTTTTATGTGATTTTATGGGTGAAGTTGCGAAATATGCGGAAATATGCTAAATATGCGAAAAGTTGCGAAATATGCGGGAGGCGGAAAAAAGGTGATTCTTCTCCCACACCCTGTTACTAGGCTACTACTGAATGAAAGTGAGCCCTTTTAAAGAGTTCCTATGATAAACAAGCATACTAGAAGCAAGCTACATCACAAAGTGTTATTTATGTATTTATGGGCTATTTTAATCACTCTCTCTCTCTCACACACACACACACACACACACACACTCTTCTCCGCCTCATTCTGTTTTCATTTACTCGTTCGTTATCTGACCAGCTTCAATCTTGTAGGCTACTCACCTCGTTTCTTGTAGCCCTCGAAAGGGTTTTGGAGGTTGATGCCTCGGTGAACGTGAGTTGTTTGACTTTCTTGTCCGCAGCAGCAGAAAGCATTTTAGAATGTTTGAATGAATCAACGTTTTCTCTTATGCTCCAACACACAGTTGCACGGGGTGCAGAATAGTTCCCCCCCACTTTCGTGCAAGACATCGGGGTACTGCTTTGCCCGGTCTTTAGCAGAAATGTTCGTAGGCAAATGAGATGGATTCGATTTTTTCATCTTGGTCAGAGCCGTATAATAGTATAATAGTATATAATAATAATAGTATAATAGTATATAATAATCTATATGGCGCTGATCTTGTTGTTTTCTCTCTCGTGTGAGTTCCACACATTCACTCTACGGTGTTGTTTACCTGCGCGAGCTGATGACATCACTACTTCACGTTAACTTTTTTTTCCCTCAACTTTGTGTGGAAAAATGCGGGGATTATGCGACCTTTTAATAAATATGCGCTCTTTTAAAAATCTGCGCCATTTTGCTGATTATGCCGTAAATTATGCGATCGCATAATCGCGTTTTTCTGGAGGGTCTATTCAGTGCCCTACGCTGTACATATCCGGCATGAATCGCTGAAAGGTTTGGGAAGCTTTGTTTCGTGAAAGGCTGGCAGAGGGTGTGGCCTCTGGGTATTCACACGTCACAGTCCCGGAAGAAAATGACAAATCTCCAACGAGGCGTTTTGGGGAGGTATTTTCTGTGTTAGAGTTTTACTCGCTACAGGGTGTACTTTCAGGGTTTTTGACTCTGCAGACCGTTTACATGCATACAAACCTTCATAACACACAAGGGGACGGGTAATAACCGGAAAAGCATGACATGGGACCTTTAACTGGTGTGTTTATCAAATAATTATCATTGTTTACATTTCTTTTTCTAGGTGTCTGTTTTTCAATTGAATACATTGTGTGATTTTAAAGGCACCTGCTATGGCATGAATTCAACTAGATTCAAAATCTGAGATAGTTGCTTCTGGCTAAGCTAGTTATGTTAGCTTTAGCAGGAGTTGGCCTGTTGTTGTTTTTTCCTTCAGGCTTTAGGTTTAGCTGACTCATTTAGCTATGTGGTACTAGTATTTTTACACTGTTAAGAAGAGGTCAGTAGGCTACATGAAAAAGGTTACATTTTATAAACAGGTGGGCAATATTCAATAAGTTAATTTAGTTTTAGCTTTGGCTAACGCTAGCAGTAGCATTCATACCATTAGCTAAGTTTTGTAGCAACTTATAAAACCTCTACATTTGTATACATTTGTGTGGCATATTATTTTTATATGGTATAACAGATCTCAAAACGTAATTCAGGTATTAAATGGGTAGTTAAATATTTTATACATTCATATAATTCTAAAGCCAGCAGCTTGTTATCTTAGCCTAGCACGAGGAATACAAACGAGGAAGCAGCAAAAGTGAAAGGGTGTGTTTCCAAAACAACACAAAATTATCTCTTCTCACATTCAGTACTACCTTAAAATATATTTTCATGTATTCTATCCCTGTCCCCCTCTCGGCATCATCCGGAAAGGCTTTCATGACACACAGTGACGCCACTTTGAACTCTGTAGCTATCTCTCTGCCAGCCGCACTTCCTTCACTGCGTGCTACAGAGAGTGCCACATACGCACGCCGCATCACACACACATATGCACTGCCCACGCATCACCTTTGTCAACGCCTCTGCACCACTGCTGCCACACACACACACACATCCCATATGAAAGAGATAAGGACATAAGGACTACTATGATTAAAAACAGAAAAATGGTATGTCGTGATGTCAGTGTTGCATTTAGTTGTAGAAAATATGAGGGAGAGCAAATAAAGGGAGTCAGTAACCCTGTATAGAGATGACTTGATGAATAATGCACCAGCATCTATGATTTATGCATGAGAATGCATTTGTATTGAGGTATTCCTACCAGTTATCTGAAGGAACAAAGGGTAAATTCAGGGTGAACCAGCCTATATTGGAAAGATCCACAAGAACCTCAGTCATCGAAAAGCATTTGAGATTCAATTCTCTCCATTTTAAATGGCCTCTTCAAAGACTGAGGATTTTTGATGTTTTAATCTACTAATTTTTAATATTGGAATGATTACTTATAGATGTTTGGTTAAATAGCTTCCTCGCTTTAGTGTAAGCCCAGATGTTGTTAAAAATATTAGCAATTTATCAGTTGCTCCTGAGTTGTTGCAAGATGAAGCTTTAATACAACACAAGCAGTCATTTAAATAGCAATAATTAAGGGGAAAGAAAGGTAGATTTTTGAATATGGGTGTAAAATACTGCTATCTAGGGCTAGGGTTTTTCTATTCATAGAAATTGAGTATTTAAAAAGTGATTGTTTGGCTTGTGTATTACAATTTGTATCAAAATCATGAGAGACTATGTTTTACTGAAGCAAATGTCATTATTTATGTGAAGCAAATACACAAGCCTTGCTGCTGTTACTTCGCTTCATATTTGTGCAATGAGGTTTAAATACTGTATAGTCGTTATTGCGTGAAAGTTGCAAACGTGTGATGCTGCTACTTTAGCTTTAAGTGGATTTACTAATTCATGCATGCTTTACTGCTGACCGGACTCAGGTAGTTATGTAAGCTGCTCAGAATGAAAGTCAGTGTATTGCTCTCCATCTAACATGTACTATACTCAATGCAATATTTTATAATTTCAAAAGACATGTACAGTAAGCCAAAAGTTCACATGGTGACTCATGATAATGTTCCTTGTATAGTTCGCACATCTATTATATACATGTTCTAAACAGAAATAGCCTGCATTAAAGAGAGAGTGGGTACAGTATTATAACGGACTGGTGCATTCAATTTTTTTGAATTTATTCCCACAATCCTTCAGAAGACCCAGCTGTTATTCTTTGCACAATCATCATCATCATCATCCTCCCTCCCTGATTATCTCTGCTTGGAAGTGATTCATTTGTTCGTGTGTGTGTATCTGTTTATGACTAATGTTGCATAGACTACTACTCGACCCATGAGCCTAATATTAGCTGTGCTAATATATGACTGTGTTCAAGGACCTCTTATGGTTTCACAATTAAAAAAGAAATTATTTGATCAACTGTATACCGTCATTGACCACTAACCCCTTGGTGATCAACAACTGCTTCAGTAGCAAAAAGCCTTTCCAGCGTACGGGGAAGTTAAAAACAAGCCTTGACTTGTATGTTGCAGGCCACATTTGGGCCTTTTTTTGGGCTCTAAAACTGTCATCAGTAAGTCTAATTTTGACCCGGAGCATCTGCAGATTAATTCTATACTCGATATGTGATGGTCCACTAAAATTAGGCATGATCTGAGATAAATAACACTGTGTTTTTGTTAGCTTAGCCACCCTTTTCACTGTAAGGAAGCTGAGAGGGACAATTCAGTGAGATTTAACCCTTCTTTGATTTGGAAGTCGAAAAGGACAAACAACTGGTGGACATCAAAGTGCACTCTTCTAGTGTATGCTGCACTCACCCAACACATACGATTATTCCTTTGCTTATAATATTAAAACCATAACCATTTGTTGAATTTATTGATGAGCCATCTAAAAGATTGCACCGATGATGGTAGAGAATTCATTTGTGATTGCAATTTAAATGTCAACTTAAACCTTCGGAAATTGCATTTTCTAATGTTTCAAAGAACAAACCATTAATCTGGAATGCAAATGGCTCATTATCCTATGATGAAAATACATTATATAATGTCGGGAAATAAAAACAAAAGATGTTTGGCATGTTTCGGTTTTCAGGGCCATTCATTTAGAGGCAATTGATTGGGATTATTTACAGTACAGTTCATTTTTGATTTTGGTTATAATATATCTTATTATGATGAGTGAGATTGTTCTCTCAATTTTTACACAATTGTATTTTATAATACAAAAATAAAAGATAGTTCTGTTCCTTTTATCTCCTAACTTGTTAAACGACTTAAACCATTTTGATAACTCAGATTTTCGGGTAAAGCTAATGCTATTTTTATAACAGCTTTTCTCTTTCATTTTTTACTCCATCCCGCCTGATTCTGAATTGGCTTGAGCGGCAAAAACACAAAAAGCAATCAATCACCGGCCATCTCAGCACAAGGGACATTTAGCCTTAAAAATGTACTGTACATCAAGCCGATCAATTAATAATCATCTCCTTTGGTCTTCGCCAAGCACAGTCTTCTCTGTCAATACTGCCCCTCTCCCATTAATCCCCATTAACTTTGTAGGCATTAAAGGGCAGCTCTAAACGTTGTATTGATATTATATTAAGGCCTTGAGCTCCCTGGAGTCTGTGCTATAGGACATATTATTCACAATCAGCACTGGACTGCTTTTGGCCGTTGCTAGTGTCTGTGAATGTGGGAGTGTGTTGCATATTTTAAGTATTAACTCACCAGGATGCATTTGGGTGGAAAATATGTTTCAGAAAACTGAGAACCATCACCATCACCATCAAAAATGTCATGTAGAAGTACAAATACAACTCCATATATTGTCTTTCAAATTGTACATTTATTTATTTGCCAAACTGAAGACTGATCAAAAGGGAAGGAAAATATATGACACATTGAAATGCTCTCATTCTCAATAATCACTAGGCCAACAGTGCATACCTGAAATGAAGATTGCATTATGGTGTCTGCAGATTTAAGTCAAATATTGTTTGCACGAATGCGTTTGTGTCCCTCTCCAATATGTCAGAGAAGAAGGAGCCAGACTGTCAATTGTACAAACTAAAGGTCAACCATGATTGAATTGTCTTCTGGGGGTAAAAGGGCAACTCCAAAAATACAGAACATCTCATTCCAACGCCCTTTATATGCTTACTACTCGCTAACTTAGGACTTTACGCATTTCAATATCCACCCTTAAAATGAATGTCCCAGTGGGGGGTGACAACAGTGACTCACGCACTGAAATAGATGTTAGTGGGATGCAGCGGTGAAATGCATGCTGGTCGTTCTGACAGCTTGTTTGAGCAGCTGTAATTGAGCACATTTCAGTGGCCTTACTCACACAGAAAGACAGTGACTGAGGTGTCCTTTTAAAATGTTCCAACATAGCATCAATCACATTTTTCTCCTTTAGCATATTCTGTAGCATATTCTCATAGCACTGCCTCTCTTGAAACAACTGGCTCCAACCAATCGTCTTCATCTGAATCTTGTTTTGAACTCTGTAGTGGTGGGATAAAAATGATTTCTGTGCATGCCTGAGGCAGCTTGTTAATATATTGATGATTGTGACATCGATAGACCTCCTCCCGCGCCTTTGTCACTCGTGTTTGTTCTTATCTATCCCTTTGTCCCCCTCCTCAGGAAGCCTCTCTGTGAACGAGGCGGCTGGACTGATGAAGCAGGAAACCCTGCAGCTCCTGAAGAAGGAGTGTGGAGGCCTCCAGACGCTGCTGAAGAACAACCACCAAGTCTTCAGAGGTAGTTGGACCATACGCTTTATATACATTCTCTTAGCTATCATACAATAGAGGAAATTGTGTGTTTTCCCCTAAAGGGCAACATATTAGGACTACAAGTGTTTGGACACATGGATTTTAACAAAGGGAATACAATATGGCTGGCCAATATATCAATATTTTGATACTAGACTTAGATTTCGATATCATCATTTGGCATATTGTCCTTTCCCTGTTTTTGAAAGGCTGCAATACGTCAATGTGATTTTCTAATTTTCACAATATGTCTTTATCCACCAATTCAATATCGAAATTACTGATGGTTATTTATTCGTCAAAAATCTTATTGTGTCTACATTTTTATGAAAGCTACAATATAGTCTCAATATTAATATCAGGTATTTGGTCTTAAATGTGTTATTTAAATGTCTCTCTATCGCATAAGTCCTACGATATAGATATATTTTAAAGAGGTCCTATTATGCTTTTTGGGGTTTTCTCTTTCCTGTAGTTTGTTATATAGGTTTTTGTGCATGTAAATGGTCTGCAAAGGCTAAAAAGATGTCATAGTAGAGGCAAAAAATACTGATATGAACCTGAAAAATGACATAATATTTATTCTTTGGTGAAATCCAATAGTACATTTTCCTCATTCCCTCAATATTCTTAATTCCATGTCAAGGTCTCCCACTTTCCCCCATACAAGTCAGATATTTTCCAACACAGTAACTCAGATCTTTGCTGATGATTCAACCAGGTGTCGTCTCTGATACGCAGTAAATATTATGAGTTCTGGATCCTGAAAATAGATTTATTTGTAGTTTTTGGAAGGAGCACTTCATTCTGGAGAGGCTTTACATCTCGTCATTCCTTCTCTTTCAGTGGAAGGAGGGCGGGTGTATATAAGAGACTGGCGGGACAGGAAGGCCTCCAGGGCGGATACAAAAAGAAAGCCCCTCGCCCCCGGGGCCCTGAAAACTCGCGCCTGCTGGTTCTACGACCACCACCCTCAGCGCTGCCCTCTGCAGGCCGAACTCTGTGCCTTCGCCCATGGACCTGATGAGCTGCGACCCTCGACCAAACCTCTGAAGAAGATGAGACACAACGCCTTTATTTGAACTTGAGGAACTTTTCTAATGAACACTATGTCCATCTCTGCCCATAGAACTTCCTGAATAAGTCTCCACTCCCAGCCCTGAAGCCACAAAGAGGAAGAAGTTCAGATCCAAGCAACATTACGTCATTTCTGGGGAATTTTTACAATATTCTCTCCCTCTGAGCCAGATGCAGCTTTAGCTTTCACTGTTATAGCTCGCTGACATCTGTAATTTCAAGGGATTCTTTTATTTTTATTTATTCAAGGAATAGATTTGTGTAAAGCTCAGACAATTGTACACTGAATATCGATTAAAGTGTATATCAAACTACATTTTTCCTTTTATTTTAAGATAATGAAGTCCTTCATAGACTTTTCTTTTGTTGACCACTTTTCAACTTTTTCCCACTGCAGAAAAAACTCTAAAAGCTGTTATATATTTCTTTGAAGGCTGTTAATTCACCTCAAACAGGTACTTTGAGGTTCACAGGCAGGGCGGTGGATAAAGAACGGACGGCGTTTGAACAAAGTAAATGTTACTGGCATGAATTATTTGTTGGCAGGAGTTGAGGGGTGAGCTGCGTGTCGTCCCCTCTGGACGGGCGCTCACTGCTGTGTCTCTCTTAACAGTTGCCTTCACCCCGTGGCTCAAATGTCAAAAACAGTAAGGCCCACCCAGGGACTGCAGCATGGTGATGGGAAGTATATCCTCTGGGTTAGTTTATTTATGTCTGTGCCATCAATCTCAAACTATTGGTGCAATAAGGACAGACTATTTAGAACAATCACATTCAGATGAAGAATTGAAATTGACATTAAGATGTGGAAAATACTGTCAGGATATTTTTTTAAGTCAGCAAGCTGTGTGCAGTATTCCCTCATAAAAGCTTCACATGAAAGGTATGCAAGACATTTTCTTAGTTTTTATGGTATTTTATGGAAGCCCTTTTCTGCCAGGTAAAGAAAACAGATACCCAAATGTGTATGCATGTGAGGCTGGCCCGTTGGATTTTTCTGTGGACGTATAGAGAGGCGAAGTCCCTCCCTTTCCGGGGGACCTCCATGGGACCTTATTTCGGAAAAAGTATGTATTGAAGTCAATGGCGAGAGAAAGACTATCTTTCGATCCCGTTTGAATTGTGCCACGAATTACACATATGATGTTTGTCAATTTAAAAGATAATTTTGCAAGTCAAACAAATAAAAATGTGTCATAAAACTGTGAAGCAACACTTTTTTTTGTGTGAAACCGCTCAATGAACTACATCTCCCGTCTCGCACCACACACCAAGACGGCCGTCACGTTGACAACATTTAAAGATTCGATTCACAGGTAAGCTTAAAACCACCATTTTCAACATATTTATTATAGAAAATATCTAGAATATAAGTTAAAACACTGAAGAAGTGAGGCATCCATCTGAATCCTGTCTCAGGTAGCAGTTGTGTATCATATACAGATTCCCTTCCTTTGTGTCCCTGTTCAGAGGATGACATCCATACTGTGGTTGACATGGAGATCCTATGGTTGGTAACATACTATGAAACTGGATGCCCCCGTATCCTCTGCAGCTCAATGGCTGTGCCACTGGGTATTGATGAAGACATACATGTGTTTAGTCTGACCACAGGTTCGACACATGGAGAAAAGGCCTAAAGCTGTAATTGTTTTCTGAACAATTGGCCATTTAGATTTAAGTGATGCGATAGATTAAACTGATTGTGGTTGTATTTTGACAAGTAGTACTCAGTCATAATGTTCACTTGTGTGGGTTTTAATGACTTACTCAAATCATTTCACCATCTCCTGCCCTTCCCCCTTGTGTCATTAGGCTTCTAGGAAGAAATTCATCCTTGAAAATACTCCTGCTGAAAAGATTTGCCGATGCAATCGACCTGCTGCCCTACATTTAGCTACAGAGGATTGAGACATGGAGGCGTTCAACTGCCAGATCCCCAACTCCACACACATTTACAGCCATTCTTGCTATGACCTTTTGAACCCAGTTTAATAAGCCATCATTATGTCTCTGTGTCTGCCTTGCACCAATGCCTAGAGACCAGAGGAATCTGCCCTCACGTAAACACTGAATAGGAGGTCGGCAACTCCTCACCCACCCAAAGAATGCATTTTAGTGCCAAAAACAACAACTGCTGCAATCAAGAAAACAGTTTTCTCTGCATACACGTACCTAATAATTTAACTGTCATTTCAAGCCTGAGCTGTTCTGTTCCTATATTCTAAATGAATGTAATATAAATATATTTGAAATAAATTATAATCTGCAAATGCTTATTTTTTCCAAACCTTTCCCCAATCTTTGCTTTTTTCTTGTCAGATAAAGGGAAGTCACTCCGGTCGAACTGCTCACAACTTGTACATTTCAATACTGGGATGGGGGATTATGAGTATGGGCTGAAAGGCAACAGGCTAAGAAGGCTGAGAACCAGTAACATATTTATATTGGAGAGATCAATAGTCGCACATATCAATATGAACTCCTGTTTGTGCAGTATTGGTTTCTACATCTTAGGATTGTGTTGCCTTTTCAGTGGTGAACTATGTAAACAAAACATTTTCCTTGACCTTCCAAAGTGGATCTTTCTTACACAACGTCTGATACTAAACAGTATTCAGTTTATATTCCAAATGGTACTTCTCATGTTTGAGAAATTCTTTCAATTCTTCTTGGTTTCTTACCCCTACTCTGTGCTATTCCAAAGAATGATTCCCATCAGCTTTTAAAATGTCTCACGCAATAAATTAAGGATGGTGAAAGGACAGATGAAACACAGAGCAGAAAGACAAAATCCCTCCCAATGCCTGACATCTAGGTCATGGAGACGTTGATGCATCTCTGTGCCTAAACCAACATATCTTCCTCTGTTTGCCTCATGCTTTATTCAGTGTGCCACTATAGGGCCTGGTCACGTACAGAAGCCTCTCTGAGCGAAGGGAACGGTGTACCAATGTGACGCTGACAGCTGTCACTTAAATGTATTCTTTTGTTTGATTGTTGCCCTAAAAAACATCTTCTTTTCCTTCTCACAATGATAACAGGGGCAGATTTACCCACTGTAATTTTTGAAGCAATTATTTATTTCAGACATTGGATTTAGATTGTATTAGCTGTTGCTAGCTAATCAAGCTAACGGTTGTCTGAGAACTGTGTCCCTGGCGTCTTGTATTTTAAAACAGTTGCTATGTTTTACTTTTAATTGTACTTTCCGTGTTAGAGGAGTAATCAATGTTTTTTGGCGAAAGTAACTTTGATAGGTTTAGATAATGGAGCAGGAAGGCTGCTAAATAAGTAATCCACGTGTTACCACGGTGCACAGTCTCACGGCATTTCGTGTTATAGTCACGAAATTAATCTATTGATTCGTGTTCACCAACACGATTTCGCCATTTTTTTTCGTGTCACACAGAACGATTTTAAAAGCAATGTAAATAATAACAAATTAGAAGGAAAAACACATTTAAAAAAATACAGATTTAAGTATTCTGACCTTTATATATACAGTCTATGATTCTGACACAGAACGATTTTAGAAGCAATGTATTTATATTGGTAGTATGTTTCGTGCCTGCACCAAATAATAACAAATTAGAAGGAAAAAAAGATGACATAAAATACAGATTTCAGTATTCTGAGGCTCTGAGCCATTTATTTTCCTCACTGACGGCAAAAAAACTCAGACATTATACAATTTAAAATAAAAGGGATAGGGTTAGGCTTAGGGTAAGATATTGAGTAAGAAAATGTTTTTATGAACCACACAGCTTCTGGTCTTCCAAGACCCGACCGGACAAAAAGACGTGTTGCAGGCACGAAACATACTACCAATAGAAATACATTGCATTTAAAATCGTTCTGTGTGACACGAAAAAAATGTGAAAATCGTGTTGGTGAACACGAATCAATAGATTAAATTAATTTCGTGACTAATAACACAAAATGCCGTGAGACTGGGTTGTACCACACCGTGCCAACATGCTACACAGAAGATGTATTTGTCGCAAACGTTGTTTTTTACAAATCTAAGATCTAACCAAACCGAACAAATGGCCTGGATATTATGCTAGGTAAATATCGGTAGTAAACCGGTTAGCTAACGTCGATACGTACGCTAACATGGTCAGGTAAACTGTGTCTCTATAGCATTTTGTTTCATGAAGTGATTTTAGTTTTTATGTTAGAGGGTTAGTTCATCTTAACCCTAAAAAACTTCTTATACTTACAGAAATTATATTTATAAAATAAGAGGTAGTCTTACCTTTGTTTAGATATGAATAATGGATTAAATGGTCCACTTTGTTTAATCAATGTGTTGAAATGACGTTGTCCTACTATGTATGTATTTTTTTTACTTTTTACTTAACATCTGCTCGAGCTATACAATCGGTGAGTCACCTTTTAATTACTGTCAAACATTTTCTGTAATGATGCAATATCTTTTAGCTGGATGATGTTGAAAGTACTATAAAGGTATTGTATTTAATACTCATACAGCAACCTTTTCTAACTTTGTCTTAACTGAACATAAGGAGTTTCTTGCAGGCTTTTCCAACCACATAAAAGTCCACAAACTTAAATCCTCTCCATCTTGATAAGTCAAGTTTGATATTCTCATCCAGGCACTCGATCAATATCTCAAAGCTGACAACCAGATGGTCACACAGATAACACATTTCTAGTCTTTTTTTAATGTAATTACTACTGACTGTGTTATACTGTACCTGCAGGAGACCTATACCCACTTCACTAAATGCAACACCCCCTCCTTCGTCACCACTCAGACCTCGGTGACACTCTGAAGATAAGGGTGTTAGGCTGGTGCTCCCTTGTGTGAACTGTGAGAGAGAAAAAGGGAGTGTGTGCATGTGTGTGGAGGGGAGGGGGGGGGGGAAATGTTTTCATTTGACATTTCACCATTGAAGACATTCTTCAAAAAGATGGCGGTGGAGAGCACCGAGCGAGGGCGGTGCTTCTTCTCGACACAGAGCTGGAAATAGACAAACATGGGCCATTCCTTGGCATTTACACAATTCACACAGTTTAAATATAAAGTAGAAAGTTGTCTGATCTATTAAATGTGTATTTACTGATCCATCTCATTTGTTAAATATAAACTGAAAGATATATTGTGCAACAGTATGTCCAGGGAACACAGACCCTGTCTTTTTAACACAGATTGATCCACAGCATCAACATACTTTTGCTTTTTCAAATTGCCACTTCGGAGCCAATCCACTGAATTAATATTTGATGAGATGTTAATTTAATACGGTGTTCTGCACAAAATGCGATGCCTCTGAAAGTGTGATTCTC